CACTGCACAAGCTGCATGTTTATCGTTTCTTATAACAGGTGCGATATGCTCGAACGCTTTCAGTGACGTGTCGCCGCGCTCCCAGCTGGTCCGCACACCGTACCCGTGCTGCCTCACCAACGTGTGCGGTGACTGCTCGGCAAAATGTCGCGAGACGTCCTCGCTCTGCCCATTCTGTCGCACGGACCTTTCCCGGTTCGAACGCACAGCATGCCAGTTCCTTGAGGACGCGGGCAGGCGAAGAAAGCGCTGGGGGTGGTTTCGGAGGCTTTCGCTGCGACGGTCTCGAAGGTGTGGGGGGACATAGAGAGATACCCGTGCGCTTCCGTGTTGTTGCTTACGGGAGTACTGACTGCTCTCGTCCATTCGCTTAGATCTGTTATCTTGCTGTACGTGTGCGTGACATACATCCGCACACAGGGATGCTGTTTACTGTCCCGTGTGTGCCGAAAGAGGTGCATGTCGGTGTGTACGTGTCCGGAGTAGGTGGTTTTCTTTTTCCCTTTTCAAAGTGATCTGTCCAGCTGTGAGTCCGCGTGACATTTCGACTTGTAGCTTTTCGCGACTCTAGGTTAAATCAGTGTGGCTCTCATCGACATGGCACATTAATCTATCGCTTGATCGCAAATGGGCGTCGACCGATCACATCGAGGCCTACCCATATCAGTGGCCGTGGAGATGATCCGACGCTCATGCGAAAAACACAGGTGTCGGGCAAGTGGTTACCGCAGAGCCCATCTTCCGCTCTGTCTCTCCCTTGGGGCGCCAACCCTGTCAGTCTACCCGATTAGCCGGTCTGTCTGTCTGTCTGTCTGTCTCTGGGAGTGTGTCGTTCATGTTGGCAATCATTCACACGGGAGCAATTACAAAAAACAATTATCATAAAAATAAACGAAAACAAAATGCCAAGCATCTCTCTCCTCCCAAAAAGGCGCCTGACGTCGTAGCTCCGAAGCTCGTCGGGCGCTCCCGCAGGCCCAGCTGAAGCGGCCCCTCCTGCCGACCAGCTAGCCTAGCTACCAGCTAGACGCCAAGCTACGCCGATCCCGCTACCGATAGCAACCACCCGAAGGCGCCATTCGTCCCCCCGCTTTGTGAATGGCCCTGTCTTTCCTCTCTATCTCGTTCCTCTCTGTCTCGTTCCTCGCCCTCGGGAACTGCGCGGAGGTCCTCGCCGAGTCATTTGCGCTAAGCGAAGAGCTTCGCTGCGGGCGGCTCTGTGCACCACAGAGGTCGAAGTACTTCGAGACATTCTCTTCGACACTTTTCCTCGAGGCTGGAAGGCAGGTTCTGATTGAGGCGCAGCTGCGCACCCGGTTGAGCACCACCACGAATGTGCTGGCCGGTTTCCGGCTGTACGCGATCATCCCCGGTACGAATCGCAGGGAGTACCCGGCGTCCGGCGGGGGACTCGTGGCAGCGGCGAATCATGTGGGGCGGTGCGAAGTTAGGGGTGATCCCGGACCATGCGAGGACACTCTCACGCTCCGCGGCTACTGGGTCTACACGGCAAAGTAAACCGCGAAGGTACCTTTCTTCATGGAGTCCCGCGCCCAGACAACCGCCTCCGACATCGATGAGCTTGACAGCTCTTGTCCTGAGGCTCGACCACGGTGCCCCGGCCCGGGACAGCCGAGCAGCACATCGTGTCACTTGGCCATCAACACCGGCAACGCCAACAGCTACATCCGCGTGTGGGAAGCCGATGCGGCCATTCAGTTTCTCGAGGACTGCCGCTGGGCCGCAGGGTATGGCACAGTCAACGCCGACACGTCGCCCGTGTCCATACTGAGGCGCACCGTCAAGACACCCGAGGGCCGCTCCGAGATGACTGCCACCTCACACGTCGGGCTGACCATCGACAACACCGTCGCCCAACCTACCGTGACGCGTGCCCGACTGATTCTCACCAGTCTCACCTCCAACACGAGCAGCGCTTTCCCTTCAGAGGCCGGGACAGTCATCACGATCAGCCCTGAGAAACATCACTACCAGCTGCGTATCGAAGGGGCTGTCCCCGTCGAGCCTGGCGAGCGCATCAGGACCAAGACGGAAATCTCCCTGGTGTCCGGCAACTATATCCGCATCGACACTGGCTGCGACGCTGGCTGTGAACTGAGCAACGGCAGACGCCGCATCTGCACTGGCGCCACTACGCGGCAGGTGGACATGACCGTGCGGTTCGACACATGACTGCGACCGACGCCCTCGCATTCGCTGTATTTTTTCGGTTCGTACACAACTTTCTTGCCTTCATAGTCTGTCCACAACTGGCCTGTTGTTCGTTTGTCCATGCTGGGGGGGCTGAGACGAGAGCCACATGGCGGGCCGGATGCGTGTGTATCTGTGTGAATGACGGGGGAATAGTCCTGTCAGGCGTCAACAGGTATGCTCTCACTCTCAAGCGACGAAGCAAGCAGTGAGGCTAATTAGCTATGTGCTTGTTTTGCTGGCCAATTGACTGCCGCATGCGCGTACGGTGGTTGTCGAGTCAATGATGCGATGGCGTGCAGATGTTGCTGAGAAAGAGACTTGGAGGTTACACACCACATATTTTAATTGTGAGGCAGGATGGGTGGGTCGTGTGGTGTACGCGTGTGATGATATTCGTGATGGCATGGCGGTGAGTCTGTAAGGACTGCAATGACCACATTCATGTCTGTCTGGAGACACTCTTTTTGTGCACTCGCGTGTCCTCATGCGGGGCCGCATAAATGCAAAGAGACACAGATCAAGTCTAAGTACAATATGAAGGGGAAAGTCACAACGAGCCAAGTGACTGTCGCCTTGGCTACGTGAACATGTCTAAGTCTTGTATGCCGCCTATCTCCGATAATTCGTCGACGTCCAGCCGCCTCCCTAGGGCCTTCGACGACTCAATCAGCTCCTCAGGAGAATTTGCAAACAGGAAGGTCCAGTCCAGGAAAGAGGGGCAGGCAGACAGCAGCCCATCGAAGTGGTCGACGATTGTCGATATCTTGATTAGGCCGAAGAAGCCAAGGACGAAGAAGAACGGGCGGACTATCATCTTCTGCGCAAAGCTCAGCGTCGTCGTAATAATGTAGTCATAGACGTCTTGCAGCTTCGATGTCGTGACCTGCAATCGAGCAGAGCACAATCAGTCGCAGAATGCAGTGTGCCTATGGCTTGTTCTTATGTGGCTTACGCAGAACATCAAGAGGAAGAAAAGGCACCAGAATAGGTAGCAGAAGCCGAGAACTACGCCAACTTTCTCTTTTCTGCGCCATTGGCGGATGAGTTTCTTTTTGTCTTGCAGATGCATCGGCTGATGCACCACACGCATGGCAAACAGCTGTTTGAGCAGCATGGGGACGGGGACAGAGAAGACGATTGAGAATATCGCCACCCAAACCTGACGGCAGCCACAAAATGACATTCCTTGTGGGAATTCTCCTCTTTCTTTCTTCTTTCAGGCGAGACCTGCCGCCAGTTTATCTGAAATGTTGCCTCGTTGGGGTCCTCATAGACGCAGGGCACCGCTGCTTCCTCCTCCTCTTCAGCAGGCTGCTCCAGGATCTTTTGCTGCAGCGAGGCATTGTACGATATCGCATCTGAAGGGGAGACAGACACCTGGTGAGCAACTGGTGGGAGAGAGACCGCTAAGTGGCTGTACTCATGAAGGACGATCGCAGCCTTTGCCGCTCGCTCAGCGACCAGACAGAGACATTGTACAGCCATCCCTCAGTGTAAGGGCCTGTCATTTTTGTCAAAGGAGGAGATTTGTGTCTCTGCCCTGGTGCATCGGATCGGGACTCTTACTGTCATTGATCATATATGCGGCGTCGTCCAGTCGCCTATTAGTTTCAGACACTGTTCCGCCAATGGGCGCCTTGAGCTGAATCAGCCGAGTCATTGTCTCGATCTCACTGGCCAGACCACCCTGATTGCAAGAACAAAAAGCACTTTCCTTCGGCAAATGAGACACAAGTGTACCGACCGGTTTGAACTCGATGCCGACGACGGGCTGGCCGACAAAGATGACGTCTCCCAGTACTGATTGCCTGTAGTCGGTCAGCCCCACCGTAGCCGAAACCTAGAGCAATCGTTCAGGTGAAGCGGATCAGACATCCGTGTGAAAACATAAAAGGCAGCACCTCTGGGTCACTTTCAAGGTCCCCAAAGACCTTTATCCACTGGTCATCCGTCGTGTAGAGCAAATCAGTCGGGATGCTGAACGACGCCTTTGGAAGGCTGGGTGCCGGAGAGGGCACGTCCGTGTCGTTGGCGGCTATGCTGTCCGTCACGTTGCTTGCAGCGACAGGTACGCACTGCAGAGCGGTGGCCGTGCTCGTGAAGAACAGAGCGCCGACAAATGCGGTGCCCAACGTGGCACATGCAAGTAATAGAAACCTGAGAGGCACGACGCAAAGAAAGGTTCTCAAAGCCGTCATCTGTTCTGGCCGCTGTCACTGCTGACCTCTGCATGGATGTGAGCATTGCGTTTGGCTGCAGCACTTTTGCGAGCGGGTGGTTCCTCATGAAGACACTGGACGCGACCTTTGTGTTTGGCCAGGAAAGGAACTCCACTTGCCTGAGGATCTGCTGCTCCTCCTGTGGGAGTGCACTTGTGTCCTGTCTCTCGAACTTCTTCTCTGCAGCCGAATCGGGTGCGACCGGCGCTGGCTGCTCCAAAGGGGCCGGTGGTGCACTCTCCGGCTTTTGTCGCGCTTGAAAGTGACTTCTGGGCATATCAGACAGGAAGACACTGAGAAAAGGGTCGTCGAAGTGCATCTATACTTGATCACCGTCTGAATGCTTCTATTGTTTGGAGAATCTCCTCCGCCACTGCCGCAGTCGACGTGGAGACAATGATGTAGACTGAGGGCTCAGTGGCTGTCGCACAGCGGGCCAGGGTCAGCAGGTAGGGAGACGGGGGCTGCAAGGTGCGTGCAATTGAGATGGGGACCTTCTCTTGTACAAGTGTCTCCTGAAAGTGCTCATCGCTTGTGAAGGAGAGCAGCTGTGCTTGCACCAGACCATCGAAAAGAATGCCGATGCTTGCAGGCCCCCCTTCGTCAGTGGTTCCCATTTCTTCGTCGACTTGAGCCCTCTTCAACACCGTCAGTCCCGAAGAGTCCACATCAATCACTGAGGCCGTAAAGGATGCTCCGAGGCTGCTGAAGGAATAGATTTCGTTCTCAAATGTAACGGCCTCGGCCTTCGAGGTTTCGGAAGGACCGTGAATGGCCGATTCCGCAGCGACAGATATGTGAGACGGCTCCTCTTCCTGCACGAGCTTGTAATATACACATGTCTTGTTGGTGTGGTGTTCTCACCTCCTCGATTTCTTCCAGTTCGACCGCTGCTTCGTCCACCGCTGCTTGTGCTTGTCGCGTCTCGTCACCCTCTGCCTCCTCATGGCGGCTTTCCTCCTCACCGACGTGCCATAGGCGTATCTGCCAGGCACGCCTGCCCCTCCTGATGGTCTCAGTGAACCTCTCAGCGACCTCTCTCGGCAAGAAAAGGTGGACTTGGACCTCGTTCAGCCGGTCCTCAAGATCAGGGGCTTCCATCTGGGCCGCTCGTTGCTCTATGGCTTCCTTGAGAAGCTTCGTTGACGAATGGACCGTCAGGCTGATGTCGACGCGAACGACCAAGTTGACGGCAGCTTCAGACTCACCAGACAAATGCTCGGTCTCGAACCCCCTGGCGAGTCTTCCATACCATCTCTGAGATTTTCTGCTTTCAGCCGACTCTTCACCTTCGCCAATTGGCTCATCTGCCCATTCAACTCCACAAATGCGGACGCAGTCGATTTGGACCTGATTCGACCCTCTCCGCAAGACTAAGCCAAAGTCAGTCACATCAATCGCCACAAAAACTCCACGCACGCCCTCACGTGACGTTTTTGCATCCAAGAACAAGGCCTCTAAGGCTGCGTCCCTGAGACAGGCATGTGCAAAAACATACAATTGTAAGCAAACAACTTTTCCGGGATGTCTTACTGTTTCATTGACTCTTCTTCGTCGAGCAGCATGACCAGAGCCTTGTCCAGGGTGAAGCTGATCGATTCTGTGGACAGCTCTTCCTCCTCCTCACGGATTTGTCTGATGATATCCTGCATCATCTGGTCCCTCGCCTCCGGCAACGGCTCCACCTCGCCAGGCTCCGCATGTTCAGAGAGCATGACCCCCTGGATGGCCTGTGCTAGCGCGTCTTTCCGCACAGAGCGCCCCTGCTGTCTCTCCATAACCAAGACCTGCTCACGCTCGGCCGGTTTGGGCTCGGCCCTGGTTTCTTCAAAATACGTCCCACTGCGTCTGCTCGCCTCCTCTGCGAGGACTATCAAGATCTCTTTGGCATCGTCGCCGGCTCCGTCCAGGGCCTCCTGCACTTCCGGTGGGTAGACGTAGCTTGTTTCGCCGAAGAATTGGACAAACATTGGTTTTTGCGTAGCCCTGCCGTATTTCTTCAAGCGGTAGCCCTGCGCGTTGCGGAACTCAGGTTTGCTGAGGGCGTCCTTGATCGGCAGTGCCACCTCTCCCAGCAACGACCCTTCACTTCTCCTCCCATCTTTGGGCAGCCAGCCGACCCTCAACACAAGGGCACCGAAATCCCTCGGACCTGAGACTTTGATGACGTTCTTGCCGATGTCCGTCTGGGTGAACTGGAAAGACAGCTCATCCACCGGTGACACCTCGACCACATCCGCTGCTGCCGTGATTGCGTAGGACGGGACGTGGCGGTCGAGCGGTGGTCCTGGTGGAGCCTGTGGCCCCGTCTCGCGAGAAAACATGCCGAAGAAAGCCTTCTTGACTCGTCCAAAGAGGTCGGCAACAACCCTTTTTTGCACTTGTGCTTCTTCCTCCTGAGGGAATGGCTGAGCTTGGCTGCCAGAGAGCTGCTCGGTGAGGTAGGCCTCAACATAGACATTCATTGCCTTATTGGCTGTGACTGGGATATTCTGAGCCGACTGAATCTGGATTGTGGCCGTCCTCCCGCCGCTCTCATCATCCTCAACATGGTAATTCAATTGCATAGTCGCGGTTGGCAGGATGGCTGCATTAAGGGACAACGGAATGCGTAGTGGCTCACTTGTTGGCTGGCGACGAGATGACAGACTCAGCACCGCTTCAGCCAGACGCGCAGGGTAATCGGTCAGGCTGCTGTCGACAACTCTTAGCAGAATCATGTCCTCCTGTATGCGCATTCACAACAAACATACCTTTCAGGCTCTTTCTCGCTCATGCGCTGTCCCTTCTCACCTTCCTCTTAAATGGGAGCTCTAGACTGCATTCTGCCGCTGGGAATCGTGTGACAGGCCCCTTGTCGACGGTGGGCGTCTGCACCAGATCACTGTCGTTTTCAGGATCGGGCAGCGGCTTGCCGGCCTCGGACAAGAAGGCCAGTTTGTGCGGCTCGAGGACATAAGCCTCCACGAACACAGGCTCCGGCTCGCTGCGTGCCACGTCCACCCTTGTCGAGGTCTTCCTCACTGCTGCTGTCCTGACCCTGGCCTTCAGGATGCCGTCTGTGTGTATCGGTCGGTGTGGTGTGGTGTGCCACAGCAGCCGCCCACACTGCTTGCGTATATATATACAGTGTACATGTATATATACATGCATGGTGCATCGCATCGCATCTGTATGCTACATGTATATACACATAATCCACGTCATATGGGGCCTGCTACATGTGTTCATACGAATCTCGGGCTACTCTGCTGCATTGCGTGTTGTGCATCCGTCCAGCTGTTACTGTCTTCCATCTCTGTGTCTTTTGAAATGTCCACATCGATGCACCAACGTCTTCAGAGATGCTCTCGCTTCATTGACAGCAACATGGTCCGTCTGGCCACACATTCACACATCAACCCAGGCACGTTGAAAACTCCCATGCACACGCCACTTCCACATGTATAAATACACACAACACGGCAGCACACCTCCAATGCGTCCTCACAGGAGCATTACTGTATCGTCAGTCCCTTCCCTAATGGCGGCAAAGTCACACCCTGTCAGTCTGATGCATGCACGCACACTAGAGGCCCATCCCTTGACCCATCATCTTCTGCATGGCCTCTGCCGGCAATCCCATCTCTGCACACACACACACACACAGCAGGACAGGATACACACGTCCACACAGGCTGCCCGCCTCATCTGTCTGTCCGTCCACCCATACGCACCTTCGTATAGCTTGGCTATCCGTTGCAGCCTGGTCTCTCCGGCCTTCTGAAAACCGTCCTTCAGAGCCGTTGTCAAGGCCTGACCAAATCACACACACACACACACACACACACGGCATTCAGTACCTGTGTATATCCGTGTGTGTGATTTGGTCCGGTGGCGTACCTCTTCGAGCTGGTCTTTGTCGAGCGATGCGGCGCCCTCGCTGACCTCTGCGCGCAGCGGTGTGCCGTTGCCGTTGTAGACGATCTTGACCTCCTTGTCGACGTCGTCCGAACGGCCCTCTATCTCCGTCTTGAGCATCTCCTCGTTCAAATCCTGACGACACACCAATGAATGCCAGCTGTCGACCTATGAGTCTGTTGTTCCGCTCCGTGCTGACCTTCATCTTTTGGAAGAGCTCCTGTGTCTTCTTGATGGCCTCGAAGTTCTGCATGAGGCCGCCGCCCGCACCGCCAGCAGGAGCTGAGTGGACGGAACAGACACGCACAGCAACCAATAGGCATCGACACACTCTCGTCTGTGTTGCCCACTTGGTGGGGGAGCTGGTGTGCCGGCACCGCCAAACAGGTACTGCTCGGTGTGCACCGGCCGCGACTGATGGCCACACAGGCACACAGCAGATGATGCACAACAAACCGTCAAGCAGCTGATCTCCCTGATCTGCCTGCCATCGTGGTCGTATCAGTGCAATAAACGAACCATTGGTACTGTACCTGTCTGAGTGAGCGCATGGGTTGCCTCAAGGACCATGAGGGCACGAAAGCAGAGCCACCAGCTGACCCGCACACCCATCCCAACGAGGCCAACACCGCCGCCACAACCAACCTCCACGCCATGGCCACAGATCAGATCAGATCTATGCGATAAATGGCAGATCGATGAGCGAGGAGGGAGAGGCAGCTAAGATGAGCAGAGTGACACTGGAAATCAGGCCCTTTCCCTCCTCCTCTTCGTGCGCGCTTCTTTCCCACTTCGCCCCGCGGCTCGCAGACAGGACAGGCGGGCAAAGGCAGCGCCTTTGTGTTCATTGCTGGCATTGCCCTGTTCACTATGCCGCGCCTTCCGCACATTGTGCACCGTGTGTGTGAGCCGTGTGAGCCCGACGGCGATGCTATTGCTGAGGTGCGCAGACAGACAGACAGACAGACAGACAGACAGAGGCCACGCACACACAGGGAGCAAGGCACAAGCGAGAGAATCGTGCATGTGGCGAGATCTATGTGGCGAGATCTGATGCTGCGATGTATGTGTATCCATCTTTCGTGTGTGTGTGCAGGTGCGTCAGGTTGTGCTGAAGGTGAACGGCAAGGACGTCGCTGGAGTGCTCAAGGTGACAAGAAACACACACCTCAGAGAGACGCAGTACACACACACACACACACACACATATGCACCATAAGAATGCATGGGCGTGTGTGTTTGCAGACCCTCCTTTATGCGTACCGTGAGGAGGATGTGCAGTGCCTCGCCAACGACCTCTGGAAGCTACAGAGTGACCCCATGCCACTCGTCTGCTCGCCCTGCTCCACCGTACCCATCGCCGTAAGACAAGACCATCCACACACGCCCCCGCTGCACTCACCCCCACAGACAGACATGGCTACGGTGTGGTGTGCAGGAGGACGCTGCGGCGTCCCTCCGTCGCAACGGCCGGTGGGGTCTGCAGGCCGTATTCGCCCAGGCGGCCGCCAGTGAGGCTCTCGTCCCTCCGCCGCAGGGCAAGCTGACACCCCTGACGCATATGGGGCTTGGGTGTGGCGGGGTGGAGCTCGACTGCCGTGAGTGGATGTCGTTCCAGCAGCTGCTCTTCTACGCGTTCCCACTGCCGCAGTGGTTCGACAAACACGGACAGTTCTCTGCCGAAGGTGAGTGACCAGATCAGGGCGGGAGACGCTTGGTGCTTTTCTTCTGCTGGTGGTTCATGTCATGGGTGCTGTGTTGTGTTGTGTTGTGTTGGTGTGTGTTGTGTAGGTCGTGAGTTGGTGGGTGGTGTGCTGCATGCGTTGGCGGAGCTGCACCAGCGGCAGGTCACGCACCTCGCCGTACGGCCCGACAACATATTCGTCAAGATACAAGACACCAACAAATACAACAACAAGAGCACCGCCACCACCAAGAGCCACAGACGCGTGCACGTCATGGTCAGTCGGCAATCGCCCAACACAGCCGCATCTCACCTTGGATGTATGGGGCCATGCCTCTCTCTCTCTGTCCGTGTGTGTGTGTGTGTGGTGCAGCTGGGTGATTTCATTTCTCGCATCGCCCTCCGCCCGGCCGAGTTGCTGACCAGCACCGGCCAGCAGCGGGGCAGCACCCTCCACAAGTGCACCAACAAACACAAGAAGGCCAGGAACCGCACAGTCAAACAACAGCAACACCAGCAGCAGCAGCAGCAGCGGCAGCAGCAGCAGGGAGTCACCGCCACCCCCAACCAGGAGCCCTACAGCTACACCAAGACGCGTCCCTCCACCCCTCCCTCACACACACAGTACCCGCCACTCTCATCTGCTACTGGTACGCAGCCACAATGCGCAGTCAACAACACACCAACATCTCTATTTCTCTACTTCTCTATTTCTCTGTTCCCTCCTCGTGTCTCCAGCCCCCACGCCCGTTCCCTCCCCCCCGCCCCACCCGCCACCGCCACCGACTTCTACCGGGGCTGCACCATCGTCGTCACCGTCGTCATTCCAGCAGCTGATGGGGCACGCCATCAACAGGAACAACAACAACAGCAGCAGCAACAAGAGCAGCCACGGCAAGGGTGTGGGTGTGGAGCTGCCCCCTCTGGGCATGCAGATCTTCTACTCACCCGAAGTGCACCACTACCTCAACAACCCCGCCGTACGTCCACGAGGGAGGGAGAGACAGACAACGGCCCCCCACATGTGAGTGGACCTCTCTCTCTCTCTCTCTCTGTGTGTGTGTGTGTGTAGGGTCACCTCAAGTCTAGCGGGTGGCACGACAGCAATGGTCGTGGCGGCAACGGGCCGCACTGCAGTGAGGCGTGCGGTGGGTGTGCGGGCGGCACCTGGACGGGGTACGTCCTCTCACTGCTGCGCACATCCGACATATGGAGCACTGGTGGGTCGGCGGGCGGGGTGAAGGGGGCAGGTGTGCGTATAGCCGGACATTGGTGTGTGTGTTCTCCTTAGGTGTGAGTCTGTACTACCTCATGGCTGCGGTGCATCCCTACGGCCCGTCGCACTCGGACTCGGGCCAACAGATGCTCGCAGATCGCATCGCTAGCGGCACAAAACCCGCGATGAAAGAGGTCACACACACACACACAGACAGAGAGGGAGAGAGACCGATGTCTGTGTGTTCCGACATTGCGTGTGGTGCCTTGTCTTGTCTGTCTTGTGGCTTGTGTGTGTGTCAGTTTGACGACCGTCCGCTGCTGAAGGACTTCTTCTGTATGCTCACCAATCCCGACCCCACATGCCGACCCACAGCCACAGAGGTGCGCAGGTCTGCACCAGATAGATAGCACCCAACACACGCAGACCAGGCGTGTATGGCTGTTGGTGTGTCGTGCACGATCAGGCTGCCCGTCATCCGTCGCTGTGGACACTGAGCGACACCGTGCGGTTCCTCAAGGGATGCGGACAGCTTATACTCGACGCCACGCAGGTAGGTACCTGTGTGTGGGGGAAAAACTCAATCAGACAAGTGAATACATGTGTGAAATGGATGTCTCTGGTCTGGTCTGGCTGCAGGAGAGTGTTGGGCGTGAGACCATCGACAAGATAGAGAAGCTGTGGAGCGACATCTGGACCAATCATGGACACACACCCGGTGAGAAAAACAGAGAAAAAGACAACAGAATGACAACCCTGTGTGTGATCAGATCCTGGTCAGGTGTCTGCGGAGCATGCCGCCTACGTGTTGGCGCATTGCCCGACCAAGCTGCTGATGCTCTGGGCCGTCCTCACACACCACCACCCCACCGCAACATTCATACCCCCACCCGCATTCCCCACCACCACCACCACCAGCACCCCCGCCCCAACCTCACACACACTCAAGACCGCTGGCCTGGACGACTGTGGCCACACCCACATGGGCCATCCTCTGACCACTGCTGACTGGAGCGACTCTGTGTGGAAGTGGCACAACCAGGCACCCCTGGAGGCGGCGCACTTCGCCAGGGCTGCTGGCGTGGCGGGCGGGCAGTACGTGAGCCCCCTGGCGCAGCTCATGAGGGACTACCACATCGCCCCCAAGCGGCCTGCCAAGGAAGTGCACATGCGGCTGGACGCCCTCTTCAAGAGCAGCAGCCAACCACAGCCACCACTCGTACAGGTGGACCACGTGCACCACCCGTCGGCGGCTCCGCCCCCACCTCCCCCGCCCCCACCTCCACCAGCCGGGCGGCCCCCTGCTGGCCATCGTGTGGGTGTGTCGTGTGTGCACGGGAGGGGCGGTGGGAGCGTGCCGCCATACCAGTCGATTATTCAGACATATGCAAAGGGGAGGACGTGAGAGATTGGAGAGAGAGAGAGAGAGAGAGAGAGGGGTGGTTGTGGTGTGTATACAAACGTGTCTGTCTGTCTGTCTGTCTTTATGCACATCTGTGTGTTGTATATACTTGCATGTGGCCACGGTTGAGAGGGTACGGTACGGTTGAGATACCTTCGAGAGGACTTACTAAGTGCTGCCTTTAGCCTTTAAGACGTTTCGATCGATCGGCCTTGATATGGCGGACGGGTGCCGTGTATGCCCCCCCACTCGCCGCCCCACCTCTTGTGTATACTCCTGCCTGTCTTCCTAGCTGCCTAGCTGCATAGCTACAATCTGTGTGGTGCCGTCTCCCCGCCTCCCTTTTTCTGTCATAGCCATATGTATGCTGAGTGTGGTGTGGGCGTGGGCGGTTGGTTGGTTGAGCGAGGGAGGGAGGGAGAGACTTTTCCTTTCTTGCCCTGGCAACAGCATACATCTTCATCGTTCGGTAATGGGGATTCACTGTGGCCCACACGTGAATGCAACCATCACGTGAGCGGGCTACATGGAATCCATCCATTGCCTGACGATGGTGGTGATGTTGCTGGCCGGGGTGGGCTGCGACGACCTGGTCACTGCATCCATCCATCCATCTAGCAATGTGACGTTGCTTCCACACAGCTGACTTACGCACCTAGGTGTTAGGACGTTTTGAGCGATGGAGCTTCATGGTGGGTGCCATGCATCCCCGCCGCTAGCTATGTGTATACTGCTGCCTACCAGCCTGCCTACCAGCCTGCCTGTCTGGAGGTACATACCTGCCTAGCTGCCTAGATATCCCTTGGGTCTTTCATTCTTCGCCCCCCTCGTCAGTCTGTCTGTCTGTCCGTTGGTGTGTAGACTGCGGTGTGGGTATGGTATGCTGGGGAGGGAGCATATGTGTGTGAGTGAGAGGCTCCAGCTTTGTACAGAACGCATACATCACATCCATGTCTGTCTGCCCGGTCATCATGTGCTGGTGTGGTGATGCATGCCGTCAGGGCGTGAAATTGAAGGCTGAGACGCTGCCCAGCTGACCGGCGAGATGACGCCGTTGTGGGCTCCGTGTCAGCTGACAAGTTCACGCAAACGGCATCCATCCATCCATCGCAAACCATGACATCACATCGCACTCAAGAGACCTATACTACTTTCATGTGTATGTCCATATATATACCTCAACGCTAAATGAAGCACCGACGGCCTCTCGCGACCCAACAGATCCGAATCCCAGCACCACACCGAGAAACCTCACACACGCTCACACGGGCACCGACCAATAAACGAGCATCGCTCTCACACTGAAAAAAGCCGCTCTACTTCTCCACTCGCAGCTTCTCTTGTCTTCGCCTCTTGTTTTTTCCCGCACTCACGCACTTGACTCCATTCTGCATCTCAGACGGTTTTGATGCCGGCCTTCTTGGCCATGACCTTCATGAGCTCCGCCCCTCCCAAATCGGTCACGAGGTCCTTGCCGCGAATGAGGTCCAAGGGGGTGTAGCCCAGGATGCGCGTGGCCGCTATCATGGCCCCTGTCAACGCACCTGTGTGTAACCACACAGGCAAGACAGAGGGAGGAACGTGCAGATGAGATGCCTGTGTGTGTGTGTGTGTATTTCTGGTATGGTGTGGTGAGACGCACCAGCCCATCCGGCGAAAGCGATGTCTTGTCCTGAGAAGTAGAGGTTGCGGACGGAACAGTCGGGCCGCAAATCCATGTCGGTCATGCGGGCGGGGGTGTGGCGCAAACCTACAGACACACGCGCACCGGTCAACCAACACAGCGATACAAACAGGCGGCATGTGTGTGTGCCGCAGGAATGCACGCCGACCGAGCGAGTCGAATCTCCTCAGGAAACGATAGGCCGTCATGGGTGTTCCCACCTCAACAAACTCGATGTGATCTGCACACACACACGGAAATGAACGAACACGCCTGAGCTCGGCCATGCGATGGAGTGTTGGCAGGTGTCGTGTGGTAGGTACCTTTGAGGTGTGGGAAGTTGTGCAGCAGTGCGTTGATGAGTTTCCGCTCTATCACCTTCTTCACACCGCTGTACTCTTCGCTCAGCAGCTTGCTCTCCACACCGCCCACGTCTGACACACACCACGACACAACATAGAACATCTGCACACACAGCGTGCTTCGCACACACCACCCTCGTGCTTCGTACCGTCTTTCAGGTGTTCGAACTCCTCTGGTATGGCCTCCGAGAACATGATGCACACACTGCGGCCCGGGTGCTTCTTCTCAGAGTAGTCGGGGTCCTTCGCGGTGGGAAAGACTGTGCCCACACAAGGCAGGCGGACAATAAGGGAGAGAAGATGACTGACTGGCTGGCTTGGCCTCTTGTGGTCGGTGTGTGTGCAGTGCTCACGCATTCCTGCGGACACGTCCTCCACTGAAGGGTCGAGCAGGGTGGATCGGTAGTGGTCCTGAATGCTTGATGCTTCCATCGGCTGCACACAGAAAGACATACAGACAGACAGACAGACACACGTGCACCGGCAGATGGGACTGCCCAGCCCGGCTGCCCACCTGGGATGTGTTCCAAGGTATATAGTAGAGTGATGAGCTCTTGAGCCCCAGCTCCTCAGCCGACCCCTTCAGGGCCACAAAGGCGTACACGTGACTGATGGCGCCCTCAGAGTACCGGTCCACTCGAGCCGCCTCCTTCTTCAGATACCGCCTCACCACATCACGGCTCAAGAGCTTGTCGAAGGTCGGCCGCAGGCCCACAGCGCTCACCACACCTTTGGACGCCTTGAGGACATCCCCATTGGCTAACCTGACCCCCGTGGCCACACCTGCATGGAAACGAGGCGTAGAGCCGCGGCAGTATATTCGTTTGGTACGTATGTTTTTCTCGGTGTGCGGCCGTGCGCACCGCACCGTGTTCGACTAGGATCTCGTCGACTTTGGCGCTGACAAAAACGCCTCCGCCTGCCTTGGTGATGGTGGGGATGACTGTGCGCGTCAGCTGGGGGGGACCGCCACGCGGATACCTACCACAAGTGTCATAGATACGACATACGCGTGTGGCTATGTGGCCTCTTCACTTACCAGCAGCCCTCCATGATGTGTCCGATGACAGCCGACTGCATGATGAACGAACCCTCACGCAAGTTCTGAAACATGCCGGGGACACAAGCGCCTCACAGAGGAGAAAGACGTGACGCGTGTGTCGGACCTCTCCCAGGTCGCCGGCAAAGGCCGACAGCACGGTGGCCAGCTGCGGGTTGTCTGTGATGTCGTTGAATACCTGCACATACGGAGATCTTCAACCACACTGATTCGTGCATGAGGCTGAACGCTCACCTTGTCTGCTGTCGCTCCGGCGTACTTGAGGTATTGGCCGCACAGCAGCGCCACCCATATCGGCTGCACACGCATGAACGGAACAGCCCGCATGACGACGACCAGGGTGAGTAGGAGGCTTCTTTGTCGTGTGTGTTGTTGACCTGGAACCACCTTGGCATGCCTTTCGACTGCATGAATATGCCAGGCTGACCAAGCAGAATGCACACACACACACACACACACACACGCACACACGCGAACAGACATTACGTTATGTGTGACGGCATTTGTGTGCTTTGTTGAGTGCCGTACCAGCCACTTGACCCTGTCGACGAGGTCAATCCACTTCGTGATGGCCTCGCGCTCATTGGGGAACACACGTACCAGCTCATCGATGACAGCACTCTTGCCCCCACGGATGCTGCACACACATGCGTACACACACACACACAGACGAACACACTGAATAAATATCAGTCCTCCGCGTGTGCCGTTTCTTTGTGTGGGATGGGCCCCACCTCATTTTGGGAAGGTCCCCGATGACGACCTCGTGTGAGCATGCAGCCCCGGTGCCGGCATGGCCCCCGGCGACATCCATGGCGAGCACATCGCCGTGGTGTGCGCGGTATGCCTCCTCGTCACGCCTGTCGGCCGTGGTGGCGTCGCCCTGCAGCTGCCACTCCACTGGGGTAGATGGGTCCGACACGAGCTCAAGAAGACCACCACACACCTCCTTATTGGCAATGTAATGCACACCTGAACCACGCATAAGTGAGAAATGACGCAGGAACGACACACGGCAGGGCGCGCACGCAGGAATTGATCGTGTGTAGGGTTGTACCTGGTATGAACTCGTAGCCCTTGTGAGTGAACTACGTACGTAGCCGTGAGCACACAGCCAGACAAGAGGGATGGGCGGCAAAAGTGTGTGTGTGTGTGTGTGTCCCTATGCCGCTGGTATGTACTCACCACGTGACAAAGGCCACCGGCCATGTAGTGTTGCTCCAGCACCACACACTTGTAGCCCTTCAGCTTGGACAAGGCGGCAGCCAGCCACAGCCCGCCCACACCCGAGCCCACAATAATGAAGTCCACATCAGCGGGTATCTTTGACCTGTCATACACGTTGCGTGCAGGGTCTTGGCTGGCCTTGATGTACTCGGGATGCGTTATTGTTCCACTGGAATCTGCCGCCTCCTTCCGGGTGGTCTCTCTAGGCGGCATTGGAGGCGGCGGGGCAACAACCATTGATGTGACCGGCGGCAGCAGCCGACGCAGTCTCCGTTGCGCAGCAGAGCGTTGATTGAGATGGTCAGGGGCGGCTGGGCGGACAAAGCTGTTGGATCTGGCATCGTCACGTGGAACGTTGGCGAGATAGATGAAAAGCGGCAGCAACCGGCAGATCTCGTTCTTCATCTTCATCGTCACGCGTACGTGCTCGCTTGTATCATCGGTGGTGGTGGTTAAGGGTAAGCAACAATCAAAGCATTCGCTACCTACCCACTGTACGCCCTTTGTGCTCACCTTTCCCCCTCGTCGCGAGCTATAGCTCGCAAACGGAAACCGCTGCTGCTGCAGAAGCCGAAATTCACTGCAAACGACTTGCCTCTGTTGTTCTGAGAAGTGCTAAAGGCCAGCCGCTGTCCTCTGTTCTTGCTTTGCTGTTCAATCCCGTCGCACGATGGCGACAGCATCTGCCTCGTCCGGCGGCCGCGGGCTGCTGTTCGCCATGATGGCAACAGGCATGGTCTCAGCCCTCATCGCCAACGTACGCATGTCAGACCCATATAAAGTCGCTTTGCAATGACAGGTGTGTGTGTCTGGCATGGCAATGCCATGCAGTCTCCAAAGATATACTCGAACATCAAGAATCACTGGAAGCGGGCCAAGGACTGGTCGGACGGTGAGAGCGGAAACGTGTGGCTGGTGGGCGGACTGGGCCTTCTGATCGTTCACCACGGTCTCTCTGCACGATTTATGGCAAAGAAGACTTTGCGATGTGCAAAAGATTTCTCTCTTTGTGTGTCTCTCTCTCTTTGTGCGTGTGTGTGTCGCCTGCCGTGACATGTATCCAATTGCCTGTGAACAGGACTCATATACGACAAGTTGGGCACATTTGGCATACTGCTGTTTGGCACGGTGGTGTGTGTGTCGGGGTTCCTACTCAAGGCCATATTCATCCCCACCGGCGTCTCCCCGTGGGTCCACGGCTTCTTTGAACTCCTTGACATCAACGGCGGCCTAGGGCTCATCTTCGGAGCCGTATGGACCATCAGGTGAGAGAGAGGGACATCCACATGCGAACATTCACCCACACACCCCTCATATGTGTATATGTATGTGCATCAGCAAGGCGTGCCCTGCAAACCTCGCTGGCGTCGTCTGCGGCGTTTTGCTGGCCACCTACTCCATCGGCGCCATCACGTATGTATCAATGTTTGTGCATGCGGCTGTAATCTTTGCCCTTGGGCCTGTCTGTCCTGTGTCTCTCAGGATGACGACCCTTTGGCAAGTCTTCTACGGCGGCAAGGCCCATACTATCGCAGACGAGATCGCGGACCTCAAGGACCAGGGTGCGGGTGCCGACGCGATCCTCGCAAAGCGAAATGAATTGGCTAAGCATGTGGCGGGCTATGTATGGATGTGGACAATTGCCGTCGCCGTCGGCTCAACAATCTTCACCATCCTCCTGCCCATCCTCTAGTAGTGGCATAGAAAGAATCCTCGTACTCGACACGTGTTACGTGTATATGTGTGAATGCAGCAATCGGTACGCGCAGGCCAAGAAGGCTGAAAGTCCCGCTCAGCTGGAGCGTGAGGCGGGTCAGCGCCGCAAGACCACTTTGGCAACGGCCCCGCCCGAGCCGCTGTGGCAGACATTCGGACAGCTCAAAGCATACTTCCCCCTCGCCGTTTACCTTCTCGGCATAGGACAGGTATGCAGACACACGCACGCACACACACACACACACACACACAGACACATAGACAGACAGACAGACAGAGAGAGGAGGAAGAGAGCGAGCCTGGATGGCCTCTGTCCTTCCTGTTGCTCGATGGATGCATCCACCTCCATAGGCATGGCCTTCGGCGCGGCTCTCAAGACGGTGGTGGCGACCTACAATACGGGACATGGGGAAATTGCCTATAGCCCCGACATGGCTCAGCAAATCTACATCATCTCGGAGGTCAGCCAACCGACTCATTGGCTGGCATTTCGTTGATGTTGGTTGTGTGGTATGGCATTGTGTGTTCTGGTAGGTGGTTGGTCGCCTAGGCGGCGGCATCCTTTCCGACGTCCTGGAGCCCTTCATGGGTCGATGTCTCTTCATTTCCATCGCCCTGTCGTTCTTTGTCATCGGTCAGCTGGGCCTGGCGCTGCTGGCGGAGGCATTCGTGTGGCCTATGGTCGTATGCATGGGAATAGCCTACGCGGCATGGTAGTACTTCACCCCCCCACACTACAGACACCCCTTCCCCTCTCTGTGTGTGCATCTCTGCCTATGTGCGTCTCTCTCTCTCTCCCTCTCACTGTGTCATGTGCGTATGTGTGTGCGTCTCTCCCCCTGCAGCAACGCCGCAACACCTGCCTACGTCCGCAACAACTTCGACGTCCGACAGTTCGGCTTCATCAGCTCCATCGCCTACTCCACACAGTGAATCAAAAGACAGGCTGGCTTGTTGCACACGGGCAATGTAGGGAATGACGCCCTCTGTCCCTCCTGTGTGCTTCATCTGCCTATCAGAATACCCTCCAATATGTTCTTTACGGTGCATACTCCTGAGGACAATATGTGTCTGTTTGTGTCTGTTTATTGGACGAAATGGCTCTTGTGTCTCTATCAGCGTTTCGTGGCGCATTTCCTCGACAAGAACAAGAAGCCCGGTGCTGACTTCTGCCGCGGCCACAAGGTAGATAGGAATTTGTGGGTGGGAAGGAAGACAAAGGGACTGTTTGCCAGTCATAATTTCTCTGCCTATGTCTCCCGAAATAATCCAGTGCAACTCCACCTGGACAGTGTTTGGGGCAGCCATTGGCTGTATCCCTGTGGTGTTCGGCATCATTCTGGCCTTCTTTGAGAAGCGCCCCAAGATAGCCACGGTCAAGACGGACCCCCGGCGGAGCTCTCTGGTTGTGCCGGACTACAACCCGCACCTCGACACAGACGAAGACATCGCCGACGAACTCACGCGCGAGGGAGACGACAGTGAAACCGCCCCTCTCAAGCAGCCCTGACAAGGCAGGCAGAGAGCAAACGAAAGTGTTAGTCGATTTTTAGTCCCGTCACAGTGTGATTGTCCAAGTGCCACGTCTGCCAAGATGGACAGGAAGCCGATGTGAAAAGAGAAGAAGAAGTCTGAGTGTGATGAGTACGGATCTATGCAGAGAGAGAGAGAGTCAAGCTGTGTATGAGTATGAACGTTCATGGAATTGCAAAGACTGGAGGGATGGGGGTGTGAACGAACGAACGAACGAACGAACGAACGAACATGGGGTCGATCGTGACCGTTACCCGAGCGTTGTAGCTCCGCCAACCGACTCGGCGATTGCGCGGCTGTGATCATGGATAGCACAGAGTGTCCAGAGGGCATTTTCCTCCCGGTGTTCGGAGATGCCGAACAGAGGTGGCCTAACGCACTCCGGGCCGTGCTCTACCTTGCGGGCAACATATACATGTTCCTCGGCATCGCCATCGGTACATACAGGCACGGCACACACGAACACGTGCCCCAAAGCAGAACAAAGGAACGACCACGTGGAAGTCTCCTTCTCTCTCTATCGGGCTGATTGTTCAGTGGCAGACATCTTCATGGGTGAGCACAATCCCTCCCCGCAGGGACCCCTGCCATCGAGAACAGCGTGGTTCTTTTGAATTTGGGTTCGCAGGTTCGATAGAGGTAATAACGTCCTCTCTTCGTCCGGTGGTCAAGGAGGTGGCGCCTGGCTACAAGAGGCGCTTCCACGTCAAGGTGTGGAACGACACGGTGGCCAACCTGACCCTCATGGCCCTGGGCTCGTCCGCCCCCGAGATACTCCTGTCCGTCATCGAGATATACTCGAGGGTCAGGCAGTGAGTCAGTGCCTCACGGCTGCACGCCGAGACCAGCCTGCCGAATTGTTTGTGGTCCTGCAGGAGTTCTACACTGGACAGCTGGGGCCGTCGACCATCGTTGGATCAGCCGCGTAAGCAGGGGAACACGCATCAATGTCATGGGCAGCTAGTGGAATTTATCTACTGCTCCGCCAGGTTTAATCTACTGGTACCGGTGACATACGTTGGACGGCCAGAGAGCATGAGCATGCAGCTGCGCAGTCGTGTGGAGACGTGTGGTGCGTGTGCTGTGTCTGTTGGTGCGTACATGCAGGTGATATCTGCAGTGTGTATCATGTCAATCCCAGCAGGGGAGGTGAGTGCATACAATACAATACAATAGAGCCTACTGCTGTGTTTCACACATATGTACTCTCTGTGGGTCAACTGCTTTGCGTGCAGATCCGCAAGATCAAGGACGTGGGGGTCTATGCAGTGACTGCGTCTGCTTCCATCTTCGCATACCTCTGGTAAGCGACTGGTCTTTGTTGTGTCTCACACGTATCTACGTTCGTCCATTGCAGGCTGCTGATCATTCTCAAGGGATCGTCGCCAGATGTTGTTGAGCCGTGGGAGGGTAAAAGCTCCCACGATTGACATACAGATGAATCAACGTGACTGTGTCCTGTCTGCTTGCAGGTGTCTTGACTTTCATTTTCTTTCCGATGCTGGTGACGCTGGCATTCATGGCAGACAAAGGTAGGGGGGCGACCGTTTAGTAAATGACGTCACGTCTCTGCAGATACACACGTACATGAAATGTACACACGTACTCATCTGCCCAGGTTACTTCACTCTCTGGCTGCCAACAAGGCGGAATGCCGGCAAAAAGGCACTCGCTGAGACGGTCGCCGAACCAACAGATGAGGCGGCCGCGGATGTGCTGGCGGAGGTGGCCGTCTCATTTAAGTAAGTAGTAGGAGGGGAGCAGTCTACCCATTCTTCTGACTCATCGACTGATTGACTGTGATGACGATCCGTTCTCATTGATCAGAGAAAAGGTGAGCCGGGCAATCTGGACACAACAGGCGCGTATTGCCTCGATTGATTCCCTCTTTTTCTTTGGTTTGATGAGCAGAAGAAGGTTGGTTTTGTGGGTCGCAACGCGCAGCAGCGCGACTCGGATCAATGCTCCGTTGGGTCGGTCAATACCCAATACACGACAGACGACCACACATCGGCCGCCGCATTTGCATCCACATCAGGTTGACACATAGACCGTGGCACCAAAAGATGGTCCATGCTTTGTCCTCTCTTGATTGCCGCAGACATCGAGCATCTGTTTGCGCGGCGGGCGGTAACGACAGACACCAAAGACCTACTGCCCATCATTGAAGAAGACACCACACAAGAACCAAGTAAGGCAGGCAATCGGCCTGGATCGGAGTCGCAATTGAAGTGTCAATATGAATGTATGTAGTTGTTGCGCATTTCGAGTCGCTCCGCCGTCCTCCGTCGAGCCTGCACGATGAGGGTGCGAACCTCGGGGCCGCAGCCACGCACAACTACCTCTCATACCGAGTGGGTGCGCTGGCCACATGCACATAAATGCACACACATACATAGGTGCGTACATACGCACATGCATGGGGCGTGTGTGCCTTATGTGTCCTGCAGCGTGAGAGTATCAGGCGCATGACGGGTGGCAAGAAGCACGCTGTGTTGCCGCCGGAAGCCCCGAAAGAGAGGACCGTGCTCTCACTGGATCAGGTCGCCGAATGTGTGTGGGCATTTGGACTCTTCTCCACAGACGAATCATCAGAATGTACCAATACAGCAGAATGGCTGAGGTGCATCCTTGTGAATGTGACGTGTGCCCGCTTTGATGTAGTTACGAGTGCGAGCGACGTAAGCCGCATTGCTCACGTGCTTGAGATGCCGAAAGGACAAGACATCGCCAACGGTGCAGTGGTGTCATTTTTTTCGAATTTGCGGCCACAAAGAGGGTGTTTGTGTCGTGCTTGCTTACTGGATGCAGATTGCCTTCAGCTCAGCCGCAGCAGCGCGACGGACCGGGCCAAAGCAGAAGGTGAAATGCGGAGAGACGAACGGAGACCATGCACTGTCATACCCGCTGTCCTTTTCTGTGCCCTGCAGACAGCATGGTATCGCTGCGGTCATTTCTGCAGACGGTGCGCGAGCGGCAACTGATGTCCAAGTGCACCGGACACTCATGGAAGGGACTCTTCGATGTGGGTGACCGTCAACGTGGATGTCGAGGCCTCTTACTGCCTGCTCTTTGGTGTGTGGTGTGACAGGTGATGGCACAAGGGGGGAATGACCTGAATGCCGTTACAGCCTTCAAGGCAAGCGGAGACACCAAGAGCGGTGCCCGTAAACGAGTCAGTAAGTGCATTTATGTATGTGTGCATCAGGGCCTGGTTGGTCCGTCCACCGCGGCGTCTCTCTATCGCACATGCTTCACCGACAACGGCAAACCATTCCCGTCATACGAAGATGCGAAGAAGGCCTTCAATACCAAGAAGGTCCACAGCATATACTTCGCACAGCCCAGCCTCCGGGTGTCCTCCGACGTGCCCACAGCCAAAGTCAAGGTATGTGTGTGTCTCTACATATATGATGAGATATGTTGAAGACTTTTCTGTGTTCTCCTGCAGGTAAAGAGGCGCAGCAAGAACCTCAGTGAGACGGTGGGATGCTCCCTCTTCACGAAAGCTCGTAAGGCCGGCAAGATCTAGACATGTACTCCCTTGTTGCCTGCTCTCTTTATGTGTCTGGCGTATTCAGTGACGGCGAAGCCAGGAAGGTACAAAGGCTCCAACCCATACCTAGCTGACTCTCCGCCTCATTTGTCCCCGTGTCTCTGTGCACGGTCAGGGACTTTGTGCCGATTCCGTGCGGCACTCTCTCATTCAATCCAGGGGACGACTTGGTGGAAGTTGAAGTGCACATTCCCACCCATGCACCCAGTAGCCCCCTCCACTCGGCACCCAAGACACAGGAGAGGACAGAGGGGCCCACCGCTGGCAGCAACTATATCATGGTCTTTCTGTCACTCACTCCGCCCTACACGGTGCTTCGTGCGTCTCGCACATGTGTGTGGTTTCATGCCTGCAGGGTCCTGATGGGGACCATGCGCCGAGCTTTCAGGTGGTGCTTGCCGAGGCGAGTGAGGCGCCGCCGGGCTCAATGGTCATGGCCGGTTCACACACCAGGTCACCACCGGCTCAGCGCACACAGAACTGCCGCGTATGTATGGCGTATAGGAACTTCCGTGAATGACATATGGTGTCCGTGCAGGTGTACGGTGACGGTCGAGCGGCCAGAGGTGTCGGCGGAGAGTGTATTTGCCTTTCTTCAGGACACCGTCTATATCAGGGAAGGTGAGCTGGGCAATCGCAAACCGTGTATGCCGACCTGGTTCCATTCTCTTCACCGCTCACCAGATGCGGGTATCGCAACGTTCGCTGTGCATCGATTCGGGGTCAGTGTGTCCATGGCTTGGCAAATCCACTAATTGTCGAGACGTGTGTGCAGGGTTGTGAGGGCTATTTGTCGTGTCACTACCACACTGAGGATGGGACGGCCAAGAGCGGAATGGACTACGAACCAATCGAGGTAGAGACTATTCCAGCCTGGTTGCTCGTTTCGCATTTCGTGTTGACAGGGCGAGTTGTGTTTTGCGCCTGGCGAGTGCATCAAACATCTCTTTGTGCCCATCATCGATGACCCCAAGTAAGGCACAAGACACCCACCCCATCCCAATGACGTCGGAGCAGGAACTTACAAAGTGTTGTGTCTGTCCGCCGTTCAGTTATGAGGTACAGCACGCGCACACTAGCAGATCCACATGATGCTTGCATTAATACATTCCCTCCCTCCCCCCCTTGCATTTTCCCTCCGTCGCCCCCTCCCTCCCTCCCTCCCTCCCCCCCTCCCCTGCCCTGTTGTCTTGTCCTCCCTCTAGCTAGCAGAGACCTTCAGGGGTGAGCAAAGGATGCACGAGTACTTGTAATGCATTGCTGTGTCCTCCTTTGATCAGTAATCATTACTGACGCGGAAGGCGGCGCGACATTCGACCCAACCCAAGACGGCTTCTCTGACCGGTATGGCTGGTGGGCGGGCGTGTCTCACCATTCTTTCTCCCTTCGTGGCTTCTGCCTGCCTGCCTGCCTGCCTCAGTTGCATAGCAGTGTGCCACATATTGAGTGAGGACAGGATGCACGTGTGGTCGCCCGTGGACATGCTGACCTACGTCGGCTGCAACATAGACGCACTCAGGTCCGCCAGGAGGGAATGGAAGGAGTCATTCATCTCCAACCTCTACTGCAACGGAAGCCCTGAAGACCAGGTGGGGACAGACAGGTGGGGGTACCTGTCTGTGTGCGAGCACGTCGGTGTGTGTTTTCCTAGGCTGAGGCGAGCTGTGTCGACTGGATTCTGCACATCATGTAAGCGTCGAAACGCAGAGGCGCCCTGCGCTGCAGTCGTGCACACCCCATATCCATCCTTCTGTGTGTCTCCCTTACTCAGAGCATTTCCATGGTGAGTGAGAATGGCCAGCCCCACGGCTGAAATCACTTGCCTGCCGGTCGGCTGCCATTTGTCCTGCAGGAAGATGATTTTTAGCGTGACGTGCCCGCCGACTTCGATCGCAAACGGATACCTCTGCTTCGTCACTTCACTCGCGTACACACAGACACACACGCCAATAGATGTCTCCGTCTTCAATGCTGTCTAAGTGGCGTGTGTGCGTGTATGTGGATGGCTGCCCATGTAGGATGATAGGCTTGGTCACGGCCATCGTACAAGATCTGTCCAGTGAGGAATCTGGTTTCCTTTACATTTCTTCTGTCGCTCACGCTCTGTGCGTTGGTTGGTAAAGGTTTCTTCGGCTGTGTGGTTGGCGTCCCCGACGAGGTAAAGTAATGGGCGAGACATCCACTCCACTGAAGCGCATTACTGACCGACCAGCTAGCTACACGTGCGCTGCTGATTGCCCCTGTGTCTTGAATCAGATCACCGCCATCTCCATCGTGGCCCTCGGCACAAGGTGAAAACAAACCGACAGGGAGCCACGCTGAGTGTTGGTTGTCATGTCATGCATGGCCCGTGTGTGGATGCCTGCAATGCAATCCAGTTTGCCCGATACATTTGCGAGCAAGGCTGCGGCCCAGAAGGACCCCTACGCAGACGCATCCATTGGCAACATCACCGGCAGGTGAGGTGCAGACAAAATGATTTTTGGATGGACACGTGTCGTGTCTGGAGACATCGTCTGTACGTTACGTGTCGTCCCGCACAGCAATTCCGTCAACGTGTTCCTGGGCCTGGGGCTGCCCTGGATGATCGCATCCTTCGTTTGGTGCGTGGACGAAACCAGACCTGAGACACACGCACAACCATGCCTGTTGGTGGTTGCCTGTCAGGAGTGCTCGTGGGTCGACTGCCAAGTGGAAGGAGGAGTATCCCGACATTGCCGAGAAATATCCTGATGGCGCCTTCGCCGTGCCAGCTGGGTCTCTCGGGTTCAGCGTTATGGTATGTATGGGATGCAGGCAGCTGGTGCGTGGCATTGCAGCACAGATGTGCCTGTGTTTTATTCAGGTGTTCACAATTCTCGCCCTGGCGTGCATCGTGCTGCTAGCTGTGCGTCGGTCGAAGCTGGGGGGTGAGCTGGGCGGCCCCAAGGTGTCCAAACTGACAGGGGCAGCGATTCTCGTGTCCTTCTGGGTGGCCTACCTGGCTCTCTCGTCGCTCAAGTCAACCGACACACTGCCGGAGGAGTTTGATGTCTGAGTGTCTCTGCGAGAGTGTAAGTGTGGCAGTGCCGGCCATGGATGAATGGATGGCTTGCATTGCTTGGAGAGAGAGAGCGCCAGTGGGAGAGTGAGTGCCGTGCCTTGAACGCATCGCGGCATGCGATCATGTCCGCAAACAGCCAGCAAAACAGACAGGCAGACGGTCGGTCGGTCGGTCGGTCACCCACTCTGTCTTTCTCACGAGTTGATCACAAACGATACCAACATAGGGGCAAATCGTCCAGGTCGACACACCACACCCAAAAATATGTACAGCAGTAGTACGCCACGCTACGTCAGCTGCACACCAACCAACACACGCACAGGCACCAGCCAGCTGCTGGTGTGCCCACAGCCACCACACACCACACCACCCACCCATATGCACTACCGGAAGTGGTGGGCACCCGACATCCACCCATTCATGTCAGTCATGTGGCCAGCCAACGTCCACGTCCATGTGATGTGTGTGCGTGTCGATATGTGAGTGTGTGTAATCAAGTGACACACTTCCAGCCGGGCAAAATTTGAGATTGCACAGCGCGCATAGTTATAGGACACACACCCCGCAGTTGTGACTGTTTACGCAGCCAGTGTACGCAAAATTCGTGTGTAGGACTTCACGGACATGTCCGTCCATGTAGAGCCGCACAATGTCAAGGACACGGACGGCTTGGGCAGCAAGGGAATGACTGAGTGGGTCAGCGAGAGAGCCAGTCAGTGAGTGAGAGAGTGAGGGAAGGAAGGAGCGAGTGAATAGCAGCCGGAACATACATACCGACGCACACACAATCGGGAGTGGGGCAGGTGGCTTCCTGGCAAAAAGTTCCCGTGTCTGTGGTGTGGTGTGTGTGGTGTGCGCTGTATCTCATCCGTTCGCCAAGCACCAAGCAGCAGCACATCGAACGATGCATTCCGTCAACCACACGACATACATACGTACATACACACATACATAGGCAGCCAGCTAGAAAGCGAGTCAGAAAGACAGACAGAGAGGGAGTACAAGAGCAGAGGGGAGGTGGCCATGCAGCAAAAATAGTTGTGACAGCCGGCCCGTCACACACGCACACGGCAGCAACAAAAACCCGTACACACGTACGGGGTGACAGAGGAGGGGGGGAGGCGGTATGGATTGGATGGGGGCCAGCCCAGCCCAGCCTGGCTCGGCCCATGCATTGATTGCTGGGCCAGGCTGGCCCAGGTGTACGCCGATACGTACACAAACGAAGCAGTGGGTATGAATGTAATTTTGTGTCCCACTGACCTGACAGTCATGCGTGCGATTGAAAAAGAGCCCATACTGTGGCTCTTCCTGTAAGAAAGTAAGGTGTCATGTCATGGTGTATGCAAAGGCACCAGCCCTGAGAGCGGGCGCAGCGCACTGTCATGTTCACTGACTAAAGGCAGCCATCCCATCGAGGAGGAACACACACACACACACGTCATAAAGGAAAACCAGCCAGCAAAGAAGAAAGGAACAAGCCCGTGAAGCGCGTGTCGGTAGACACAACGAACGAGACATTGAAAAGAATGGAGGAATAGAGTTCCACCCACCCACCCACCCTTGCCCCAGTAAAATAATCAGAGCAAAACAAAATACTGACTGCACTGATGGACACGTCTCGAACAAGACAGGTAGGTAGGTAGCACAGCGGGGGATGGGATGGGTGAGTGGCGTCGCGAAAGGATTTCTGTGCTGTCGCGCAGTAGCTGGCTGGACAAGAATACAAGAATACAAGGATACAAGGTACAAGGAAATACCCCCCACACACAACGGACACACAAGCAAGCAAGCAAGCAAAGAAACAGGCAGCAAGTACGCAGAGAAGAAATATCCCCCACCCACCCACAGACATACATGTACACATTCAACCACACAAGAGACTCGGGAGCCGACTGACTATACACACACATGTAGTTAGGTGAACAAGCGAGTGAGTGTGAGTGAGTATGAGTGAGTGTTTGTGGGCTCTCGCTCCGGTCGATTGCTAGCTGGCTGGCTGGCTAACATACGCATCGCATCGCATCGCATCCATCGCGCACACCGCAAAATACCCCTACACATGCCCATATACGAACGAGAAACATCAACACATCAATTCATCACGATACATACATACACCCATCCATCCATCAGATGGTGAAGATGCACTTGGGCGAGATGACGTCCGGGTCCATCAGCGACACGATGTACTTCTGGAAGGGGCAAGGGCCGCAGATAAAGGCCCTGTCACGGGCGCCACGCATGCCCTCGCCACCCACCACCGACCACAGACGCTGCACAACACACAACACACAACATAATGGACCTAGTATGACCAAAGCCGCATCCCCCGCCCCCCTCCCTCACACTGAGGCACCCACCTGCAGGTAGCCATCGAAGATCGCCTTGGTCAAAGGGTTCTTCTTGGCGTCCGTCGACCCCGACCCGCCCGACCGGCCGCTGCCCTCGCCGTCACCGGACGGCTGGAGCACGTGCCGCTGCACCATGAAGGTGGGGTGCACCTTGGCCAAGTGGTCGAGCTCATCCTGCAGCGCCACATCGCCCTCGGTGTCCTCGATCTGCACGAACAGAATGGCCGGGCAGTCGCGCGGGAGTGATGGCGGGGCGGAGGGGGGCTGGGAGGGGTCGCGCGTCGGCAGGTGCCAGTGAGTGAAGGCGTGCTGCAGAATCTGCAGGAGTGGGGTGATGCCCACGCCCCCACCCACCAGCAGCACACGCCGCCACGGCTGCTCCAGGGGGTTGGCCATGAGGTCTATGCCGAACGGCCCTTTGATCTGGACGCTGTCGCCCGGGACCAGCTGCTGCAGCTGGCTGGTCATCTCGCCGTCCGGGAAGATCTTGACCATCAACTCCAGCTGCCCAGGGCTCATGGTGGCCGTCACACCCAGGGGCGCGCTGTGGCTCCGACTGCGCATCTTGCTGTGATGGTCCGCCGCTGCATCGGCATCAGGCGGCTGCAGCTCCTCCTCCACCCCCTCCCCTCCGTCAGCAGGTGCCTCGGCCATGTCGCCGGTCTCCCTGCTCGAGTTGCTCTCGCACCCGTGGATGTCGCAATGCGACCAGGTGGTGTTGCCGCTCGTGCTCGCCGGAGTGGCGTCGCACGTCGCAGACGACAGCAGGGGACGCCGCACAGACGACTGGTCCGAAGACCCGATCTCCAAACCGACCGGCACACTACCGCCCAGCTGCATTGCACACACCCCGCCACAGCATCCAGACATCCATGGGGTGTGTGCGATACGATATGTCCGTGTCTGTGTCCATCCGTACCGGCAGCTCTGCTGGAGGGCTGGGTGGGCTCTGAGGGGCGTCAGCGGCCCCCACGTGTCGCCTGACCAGTGGGCTGGTGGAGCAGGCCAGGGTGGGGCAGCACGAGAAGATGGGGGTGTAGTACCTCTCCACCCACTTGTGCTGGTGGCGGCTCCACAGCCGCACACACACGTGCTGCCCGACGGCTATCTGGAGGGAGCGAGTGGCGTGGACCGACGCGAACCGGAAGAGGTATGTGGGGTTGGTGGCGCTGTCACTGATGCGCTGCTTGCGCACCAGCACCCAACGGCAAAACCATCGCTGACCATCACATCACATACAAGTTTGTGTGTGCATCTGTCGGGCTGTTCGGCATGTGGGTGGTTGCGTACATACCTGGTCCAGACACAGTGGCTGCACTGCATCCGACTCAGGTGAGGGAGAAGGGGCCCTCGCAATCCCACACATGTCCTCATCGCCGCTGCACCCCTCATCCTCACGCCTCCTGGTGGAGCAGGCCGTCAGCCGCTCGTGCTTGCAGCTCCCCAGGTACGCCACTGTCGGGCAGCTGTGCAGTATCACATGCGCCATCTGCTCATTGAGCGCCGGTATCGACGGCCACTCGTGGCCCTTGAGCTGCCGCGCCTCTCGCGAGAACAAACCGACGAAGTGGTCGCTGCTGAAGTCCAGCGAGCTGGGCACCTGCTCGCCCCCATACTGATGCAGGGCGTGGGAGGTCTTGAATGGCGCATCGGCTGCCGTTGATGGCTGTGTGGGGCTGGTGGAGGCAGTGGGCGACGAGCCGCTGTCGCCGTCAGACGTGCGGGACGACGTGGACCTGTCGGAGGGGTCTCGCCGGTCCTCCGTCGGCAGGACGAACGACACTGTGTGGAGGGAGCCGCCAGGCCCGGCCCCAAGAGGCAGCTGCCCAGGAAACTCCGCCACGCTACGCGGCACCGGGCACCTGAGTGAGTAGCAATGAACGAAACAAAGGCTTCTTTCTCGTCTGCTTCCGCCGGTTTCGGTCTTCCTCCATCCATCCCTACCTACCTCCTGAAGTTGGGTCGCTTGATGGGGTTGTTGCTGGACAAATCACTGATCCTCTCCAGCGCCCTGGCGTCATCTGTCCTGGGCTCGTCGCTGTCGTCGTCACGCAGCGACCCGAACGACGGGCCCGTCGGCAGAGATGACCTCCTGTCGCGGATGGGCAGCCCCAGCGAGATGGGCGTCTGCGGCACCGCCGCCACATTGTCGTCGGTCGCTGCGTGCCTCAGGCCACGGGACGCAGAGGACGTGTTGTCCACGACGTCGGCGCCGAACCTCTCGGCCGCGGCGAGCACCTTCTGCTGCAGTGGTGACACCACTGCCACTGGGCTGTTGCTACTGTTCGAGTCATCGTCGTGATGGCTGCTCCCATCGTGGATGGTCGGCAGCAGACCCCTGGCACACGGTGTGGCGCCACGCGCCCACGACTTGCGACGCAGTATGGATGGCTTGGCGTGGCTGATGCGTGAGAGCACCACTGAGGGCGAGTGGAAGGGGCGGTGCTGGTGGCTGTCGGCGTTGAGGCTGTTTACAAAGGTGTGGTCGGGGTGGGGACTCACGAGGCCACGCGAATCCAGCAGCGGGTCGATGCGATGCTGCACGGGACGCGAGAGAGGGAAAGGTCGACAGACAGCCATCGAGAATGAAGAATCGCCCTCTCCTGTTTGTGTGTGTGTGTGTGTGTGTGAGGGTGTGGTGTGCCTGCCTGTGGCTGGTAGCTGAAGCAGTAGAGGTCATCCAGGTTGAGGCCCATGCAGTTGGACAGCAAACATGGACCCAAGGCAGGATATTGCTGCAGGCAGACACGCCAGACGGGGGCACAGCACAGGCAGGCACACACACAAGTGGGCAGGTGACCAGTGAGTGACGTGACATCTGCCTGATGCGCACCGTGAGTAGCGGTGAGATGTCTTTGACTTGATTGGCGACATAGAGCGTGGAGTCAGCTGCCACTTGCCTGATGGCCAGACACACAACACACAGCACACAACTTGGGACAGTGTCGGTGAGTGAGGTGTTTTCTCACAGGTTGCTGAGGTTCTCCTTGATGGACGCACTCCGCTTGCTGTGGAGCATGATGATCTCCTCCCCCCTGCCCCTGGATCAAGCAAACACGAAAGCTGCCGGGTCAGCTCAGGCAAAACGAGCGTTGGTGTATCCCTTTCGTTCCTTGATCATTTTCCCATCTCCACAGCCGTCCACCCGGAACACCCCGAGGGCCTCGCACCCGAAAAGAGCCGTCCCGGATCCGCGCGAGCTCGAAGACGATCGGCCGTTTTTTTGTGCGAGCTAAGCTTTGGTTTCCAAGCGATGGATTTTTCGCGTCAGGAAGGCCACCGTGGCGACCTGCAGCACATCAGGAACTTGCAGGTGAGTCGTGATCACTCAATGACAACCAGAGAGTTTGAGATTTCGAGAGCCAGAGAGTGATATGGGGCCCCTGTGTTTGCAGGGCATGATTCGGGATAAAGAGAGGGTTGTGGACGGCTTGCAGGTGGAGATACAGCACCTGGAGGAGGCTGCAGGACAGGTATGACACCCCCCTCCCCACGAGTTGGGGTCAGCCGTCGGTGTGTTTGCTGTGTCTGCAGTCAAAGGATGACACATGGCGCCTTGACACTCTTCTCACCAACATGTTCACTGGCAAGCACAGCCCCTTTGCCCCAGCCCAAGCCTTACAGCAGCAGCAGCCCCGCCAACGCGGCGGGCCCCAGCAAGGGAGCTGGCTGACCAGCTTGTGGGAGTCTCTCTTCCGGGACACCACACCTGGTAATGACGCACAGGGGATGTCTTATCGGGGCAGGGCATACCCACAGCCGGCCGTGAGTGGAAATTTCTCACCATACGGCGAGAGGTGCGATTTGGGTGGGGTGCCGGGGCCGTGGATGGAGCCGATGTGGCACAGAAGGAGGGCCCTGTGTGTGGGCGTCAACTATGCCGGCAGCACATTCCAGCTCGGTAAGCAGATGGGAAGCGAGGGATGGAGGGAGGGAGAGGGAAATTGACGTCTGTGTCGTGTGTTGCACGTGTATGGCTGCAGGGGGTGCAGTGAGCGACTGCATGCGATGGAGTCGTGTGCTGCGCATCACATACGACTTTGACGTGCGGTGGGCATGGCACGGCACGACCCATCCATCCATCCACCCATCCATTCCTCCCTGCACACACCTACGTCATGTGTGTACACAGGGTGCTGGCTGACGAGAGCGACGATGGATTCGTTGTCAGAGCCGGCAGGCGGCCCACAAAGGCTAACATTCTGGTGCGCGTGACCGGGTGCAACAAGCAAAGAGACACACCCACATGTGTCCGATGGATGGGCGATATGACACATGGGTGCAGGAGGGCATCCGGTGGCTGCTGCACGGCTGTCTGCACGGAGATGTGAGCACAAGAGCAGGAGACACGACCTGTGCAGGTCTTAATCATCATCTATGGTGTGCCTGTCAACGCTTTAATGCAGCTTCTCGTCTTGTTTTTCGCGGGTTGGTCGATTGGCAGGCAACAAAGTGTTCCATCTGTTGGTCCGCATCACGTCGCCCGTTGTTTGTTCTTTCAGGCTGCTCGACCCAAGTGCCTGACGCAAAACGACCAGAGCAAGGGGTAAGTCTGCAAGAAACCAGAAGTGCGTGTGTGAAGCTTTGCTGTTATGCTGGGCTCGGGTCTTGTGTGCAGGAGTCTGCGTTGCTGCCGTGTGACTATTGTGAGCGCGACATCCACGGCTACCCCCAGCTGATCTACACACACGAGATCCGCAAACTCATCTCGTACAAATCCATACCACCAGGTACCTAAGCACATCGATGAGTGAGTGAGGCGGCATCTCTCATCCACACATACATACAACATGACGCACGCAGTTTCGGTGCATGTATGTCTCAGGTGCCCAGCTGTTGGCGGTGTTGGACTGTGGCTGCACCGCCACGTTCTCTTCTGCTGAGGTGACCATCAGCACACAGGGCAGCGACGAGAGACACGCCAAGATGCAGAGAAGATTCGGCAAGCGTAAGCAGCACATCAAATCAGTAGGTCAACCTCCATTTTATCCCTTGTATGCCATTCAGCCCCGTGCGTTCCCTTGTCATGGGATTTCCGCATGCGAAAGGGCAGTAATAGAGCGACCAAGCTCATCGGTACGCACACATGGCACCACCGCCACCAGCAATACATTGTTCGCTCAACGGCTCTCCCCCTCCTGCAGTGTCGACCAGCCTGCGGCCCCGTCAAGTGGCCTTCCAGTCGGTATTCGGCCGCACGAAGACACCATACAACAGCTGGGGTGGGTGGGGCTGCGGGGGTGCCGCAGAGCAGCGTGAGGAGGCCCGGGACAGAGCTGCCGGGGGCGCCATCTTCTGCGTGAGTGCCGTCTCGTCCGGGAGGGAGACTCCCGTCGAGGCGCAGATGGACGACAGACAAACTGGTACACGTCACTAGTCCCGCATGTGTAGTTGAGGCGTCGGATGTGTCGTGTGTTGTGTGTCTTACAGGCTTTTTGACGTGCTGTCTGATGGCGGCCCTTGCGCATACGACCCAGCCTCTGCCGTCTCTGTGGGAGGTCTTTGCAAAAGCCGGCCAGATATCACAAATACTGAGGTAGGTGAGGTGACCAGCTTGTTCCGTGACCACTCATTTCCCTGCTTCCTTGCAGGCGAGATGCCTCTCCCTCAGTGAAGTCGCTGGTCGACCAGCACTTCGCCCTCTCCTTCGACGACGCCAGCCCACCGCAGTGCTTCATCTTTCCGGACCCACACAACGGCGGCTCCCCATTCACACCACAGCCCCACCACTGGCCTGGGGCACTCTTGCCGGATGCCCTTTCATCATTCTCACCTCTGCCGGCCACGGCAGCAGGCCCCACGGCTGATCGTTTCGTGGATGTCTATGTGGAGAGTGTGCGAGACGTCATGTCGCCCCTGGGTCGGTCGGCGGTCTACCAAGTGACTCTTGAGCTGCTCTGCGCCCTCGCCAAGGCCAAGGGGTGTGGTGACACCAATGCGGTGTTCCGGTGGTCGAGCAGCCGGGAGGTGGCGCAGCCCGGCGGGTATCAGGGTTTGGGGATGGTGCACGAGGCCTTTTTCCGGGCAAACGTGCGGGCGCCGCTGCCTGGTGTGCCCTCACAGCTCGTGTGCTGCCTGTGGGCCGTGTCGGACGCTCTTCATGAGGGAGAGCAGTGCATCGGATGTGTCACAATCGACATCAGGTGATCCACCTGCACTCACACACACACACACACACACAGGGGCAAATGTTGTGGCGTGTGGTGTGTGGTGTGTCTTGTGCAGCGATGTCCGTCTGCGTCGTGTGTCGTCATGGCCGCTGCGGCGAGGTGACTACAGGGGGCCGGCCGTCGGCCGCGTCGTTCTTGAGGCAAATCCCTTGATCCAAGTCGACCTGGAGACTCATCCTGCCGTGGGGCAGCAAGAGAAAGAGACGACAGGAGACACAAGACAGCACCTACCCACACCTACACCCACCACACCTACGTTACCGGCTCTTGCGGCCGTGCCCTCAGTCGTGCGGCCGGTGCAGGTGCTGTCCCGTCCCTTCCCCGCCCCGCAGCCAACGGCCTATGTCTCACCTGTGCCCTTGTTCCATCCAACGCCCTATGTGGCGCCGCCAACGAGATACTACTATCGTGTGTCGTCAGCCATGCCTACCACGACCGTCGTCAAGCCGCCGCAGCAGAGGCCGACCGTCGCAAAAGACAGACAATTGAAGACCGACCCACCCCAGTTCGGAGCCACAGCCACAGACAAGGCCCTTAAGGTGCCGTGCAGCTGTGACTGTGTGGGCTGCCTGTGAGTATCGTCAGAGGGAGATGGGGGTGGAGGTGTGAGGGGTGAGGGGTAAGTAAGGGGGGGCGGGGGCAGGAGGGTCAGGCGGGGCAACACGAGGGCTGTCACCACACCCTGAGAGAGAGACTAACCCTGTTGTCTGGTCTGACAATGAAGTCACAGCGTGTCCTTCATCACTGATGCCAGGGTGTTTGCTTGCTTGGGGTTCGGAATGATTCAGTGACGCTCTGGATGAGTGGATGGGTGGATTGACGGATGATTGACTGGTTGGTTGCTTCCTGCATACACAACACACAAAGGTAGGTCTCTCCGTCTGCGGGGGTATGTATGTCCATTTGGGTATGAAGGAACGAAGCAAGTAAGTCGATCTGAGCCACCAACGCAGCCCTGTCGAAAAAGGGACAGCGCTTACTTAGTCACGCACGCACCACTCAGTCAGCTGAGCTAGCTAGTCACACGATCGATGGTGGCCATCTGTACACGCATAGCCCTACCTTGTCAGCAAGTAAGCATACAGGGAGGGAGGGAGGAAAAAGCTGCCTGGCCTGACTGACTGGCTATTGGAATGCCCACACATCGACGGACGGCAACCGTCTCACGGCCGACACGCCTCTCTGCAGCTGCCAGTTGAGTAGCACGTCTTCGGGCAGCTCGCTCTGCTTCTGGGGGACGGCTATGGGGGGTGCTGCTGCCAAGCTCCCTCCTGCTGCTGCCGCTGCTGCTGCTGACGGCACTTGTGCTGGTGCTACCTCACTCACTGTCCACTTGTGTCTGCACGAACCACACACACAGCAGCAAAACAGACAGACAGACGTACGGGAGGGTATGCTGGGCTGAGAACATACACACTGGCTTCCTAGCTTTCTCCCTGATGCACACCACACCCTGCCCGCCCCACTCATACATGCCCCCACACATACATGTCACATGATGGATGGATGGATGGATGGCACACAGCTGACTGACCAAAATCATACACCCGACAGACAAATACTCTTCTGTGTCAGCCGGCCGGCCAGCCAGGAAAAGACTGCCATAAAAATCGGCCAGCTTAGGTATATATGAGCGCAGGTCGATACATGTATCGGTGGGTGGTGCATTCATTCAATTCATTGCCAGGGTAGTAGGATCGACTCAGCCATGGTGCCGTGCAGGAGAGGCAGCCGGCCCCCCAGCTGCTGAGTCGACATGGGCGTGAGGCTCACTCCTCTCTGCCTCTGCCTGTCTGTCTGCACATGCATGCTGGGGAGTGCGTCTGTCTGGCCTCTCCTCCTCAGCGAGTACACCACACCGTACACAAGCGAGCTCCCGTCATCGTCAGTGCCGCTTTCGCCCTCCCCCTCCCCCTCTCCCTCGTGCGACGGCGGCCAGCTGAACATCCTGCCTATCCACCTCCGCCACCCCTTGCTGCTGCTCCTCCCCTCTCTGATCTGCGCTGCCTGCCTGGGGTAGGGCGACAAATGCCAGTACATGTAAGAGTGATCATCGGAATTTGGAGGGGGGGCGAGGGCAGCAGACGGGGGGAAGGGGCACGGACAAGGCGAGCCAAAAGGTCGGGTCGTCGAGTCGTCCCCCCCGTCGCCACGCACTGACTCGCTGGCCTGGCTGGCAGTGGGCCTCTCTGACGTGCTGATGATGCTGGGCAGCGTGTCGGGCCGAAACGCCAGTCGCCTTGCCTTGTCCCTCCCCCATGCATGGTGCCACCACCCGCCCCCCGTCTGTCTGCCTGGCTGCTCATTAACCAACCTATGTGAAGGAGGATTCATCACCGCAGGATTTCCATACCCAATCGTGGTGACCGTGTCGATACTTCCCGCCCGGCTGCTCCACGCAATGCTCTGCGCGTGACCCACCGCAATCACACGCTGGCTGTCGTCCATATGCGGCCCAGTGCTGTCGAAGCCGAGCGCCACTTGGTTGCGCATCGCGTTGGCCTTGTTGAAGGGGAAGAGGGGGGCGCGCGCACTCTCAGACTCTGGGTGGGGGTGCAGCGATGGCATGGCACTGTTATTCTCGTCATTGGATGACCGCCGGGCTCCGTGAGGGCCCTCAGGGCTGCCCGCACTCGCTCGAGCTGACGCAGAAAACGCCCTGGGGCCATGACGACAGACAGACAGACAGACAGGCAGAACGAACATGGTGTCGTGTCTATTGTGACTGTTCGGTGTGTGTGAGAGAGATGTACCTAGATAGTGTGAGTGCGAGGCACCCCGCGACCACGAGGAGCATGCCGACCAGGTTGACAGTGCGGGGGTACTCACGCCCCACTCCCAGCTGGCAGAAGAATACCACCAGGGGATTGGCGCCCACAAGTGCTGTCGATATGCCGGGCTTGGGGTACATCAGGGCCTGTTGGACAGACAGACAGACAGCGATTGGCCCGAATGCATACATATGTGTGTGTGTGTGTTGTCTTGTGTGTGACCTTGTTGACGCAGAAGACGGCGATGGCCTGGAAGATGCCGCATGCGCTGGGAAATATGACCAGCCGGGTCCACACGAAAAACCCATGACCAGGCACCGAGAAACCTGTCGACAGCTGCAGCAACGCATATGCACACACACCAAAACTGTCCGCGTGGTGGTGGCGTCGTCCATTCTCTCTCTTGTTGACTCGCTCACCACGGCGATGAGTGTCAAGATGCCCATAATGCCCTCAGACAACATGCGGATCACAAACCCTGTGCACACGCACGCAGACAATGAATGAATCTGAATCTGGCCAGGCCCCATCCATTGACTGACTCACCCGAGTAAGCCGATACCCCGTTCATGGCCCCCCATCGGATGAGTATGACGCTGACGGCCATGCCCAGGGCCGCCAGGGAGCTCCACGCCAGCCCATACAGGTGCTCGGGTCTCGGGTCAGCCAAGGCCATGGTGCAGAGCCCCGCCAGGACGGCCACAAAGGCGGGCAGGTCTATCCTGGTCAGCCGGTCGCCAATCGTGCAGTGGAAGAAACACGTCACGAACACCACATCCGCTGACGTTATCTGAGTGAGGAAGGAATGGAACACACACACACATGGATGGATGGATGGATGGATGGACGGGGCGCGTGTTGCTCGGTGCTTTGCTTACGGCGCTGAACGGCCCCATGGCTGGCGGGTCTTTCTCGAACCCCAGCTTGAGCGACAGCTGGGCAAAACCCAAAAACACACCTGCACGCAGCACAGCACAGCACAGCAGACGAATGCTCCTCGTCTGTCTGTCTGTCTGTCTGTCTGTCTGTCCGTCCAGCTCTTGGTCTGCGTCTCCCTCCCTCCCTCACCTCCCAATCCCGTCATGATAATGATCATGATCTTGCGGCATGTCCGTCTGAGCCGCCCTCTCCTCCGATAGGCCACCTGCAGCGTCGGCGTCGCACCAGTCATGCTCAGGTCAGGCGGCGGCGCCAGCGGACGCGTCGACGACCCGGCACCGCCCGACATCCCCTCCCTCTCGTCAGCGCCTGCACGGGAGCCGCTCACAGATGCACTCACACTCGCGATGGAGGGAGGCGGTGACGGGGGAGGCTCCCCTGATAAGGGGACGTAGCCGTTGCCTGGCGGCTGGGGCAGGTAGCGGTCGTTCTCTTCGTCGATGGTGCCGCCGATGGTGTCTGCGTGGTGGATGGGGGGGACGGGAGAGGCGCTGACGGATGCGTGTTGCTGGAAGGGGGGAGGGGCGACGATGATGTCTGTGGGTGCGTGCTGGGGGGACCCGTCCGAGGGCGGGAACTTGATCTCCAGACCTCTGCTGGCTATCCACATGGTGCCCACTGTCATCCAGAAGTACAAGGCCGCCAGCAGGCCGACGATGCCTGCGGTCAACCCAGACACCAGACACACAGAAGAGATGGATGGATTAATGCTTTGACTTGCTGTGTCACCCCGGTGTGGTGTGGCAGTATTGGCTGCTCTCCCCTCCCCTCCCCTCCCCTCTGCCTCACCTGTCCACATCCACACGAGCGATATGGTGAATAGGTGCTCAATGTCCAGCTCGTCGGCCACGTTGGTGAGTCCGAGCATGAAGTACGAGAAGCCCAGGAACAGCATGGCGAAGAAACTCCATGCCAGGGATCTGGGGTCGACGTGCCGCCACATGACGACGCTAGCTGGAATCGATCACTCAATGACTCAATGGATGGATCCACCACTATCAGCGCTGTCCTTGTCCTTGTGAGGCACGCGCAGGTCAGAGCTCCGCGTTTTCGAAATCGTTCACTTGCGAGCTGGTCTGCCCTGCGAGCTTAAGCTCGCGACGAAGAGAGGAAAGAGGGAATGCAGGAGCCCAGGGACGGGACGACTCAACTACGAAGACCAGTTGTCAAAAAGGTGCCTACAAAGAGAAGCAAACACCAGCACAAACACCAAACACGTATGTATTTGCAGTGAGTGAGTGCTTCTGTGTCTTCCCGTTTGGCCGTTCAGGCTCCCCGGCGGCCAGGAGGCCCTCCAGCATCGCAGCCAAGCGGCCTGGTGTTGCCGCCCCTGGGGCCGCCTTCCCAGGACATTCATCGGGTGTGCAGCCCGGACCCGCTGCAGCTCTGGCAGGGCCTGCAGAGCACCCTTGGCCTCGCCGCACCTGCACTGCCGGCAGACAACGGGGGCGGACGGCCTGGGAGGACTCGCCATGCTGGTCGATATGATGAGCAGGAGGGCGGCAATCGCAATGCGGCAGGGAGGTCGACGAATGCGGGCGGCAGAGGGGGAGGGAGGGGAAGGGGTGGGAGGCGTCGAGTGAGCGTCACGTTGAATACGAGGCATGCCCGGACTGAGGTGGGCAAGACAAGCCTGGCAAGACAGGGACGAAGAGCAATGATTGATGATGAGCAGAACTCGGCTGTGTGTTCTTTCTTGTGTCTGTTTGTCCTCAGTATGAGTTGCTGTCGTTGTGCACGTCAACGTTGGGTTGGGGTCTGGAGACTCTGCAGCACAACGTGGGGGACGTCTTCTGGCTAGGCCTCGCTGTGGGAGACCAGGGTGAGTGAGTCAGTGAGTGAGCCATCAACATATATATATATATATATATGCCACCCACTCACCATCGGATGCATTAATGCTGGTCTCTGCATGTGGTGTAGAATATCGTCGCTTCGGTCGTGACGCGTCGTCGATGTTTAGTCCCTATTGGAGCAGCAGCCTGGCCAGCAGCTCCACCAAGCCGCCCGTGCTCGTCAACCGCTTCCCAGGGCTGCAGGAGATCGTACGCAAACGGTGCGCATACACCACACACGCACACACACCACACACGCACGTGCCAACTTGTGCGTGAGTGAGTGTGTTGGAATGCGTGTGCCTCGTTGATGGATGGATGGTAGGTGTTTGGCGGCGATGATGCGTCTGCAGGCTCAGTACTTCCCCGATGCCTTTGACTTCCTCCCACAGACGTGGATACTGCCGGAGGAAAAAGGTCCCTTGCGTCCATCGCACACACAAGGACGGGGATCTCGCTATGTATGTGTGTGTTTTGGACATGCATCATGCAGAGGATGTGTTGGACGGCCTGCGTTCGTCGGAGCGGCGTCAGACGTTCATCATCAAGCCTGACGGGGGCTTCCAGGGGCAGGGACTCAAACTCATCAACAGGTGAACAACCCAACCTGGACACGTCTTGCTGCATGCACTGAAGTGTGTGGTCCATCCATCCATGGCATCAAATCAAAGGCCGAGTGACCTGGGCACGTCGATACTCTCGGGATCAGGTAGGCAGAAGGAAGGCACACTGCCAGCACCGTGGCTCGGCTCGTGTGGGTTGCATGTCATGTCATCACTGCATCCATCCATCGCTGGGCGGTCGGCTGTGTGTGTGCAGGTCACTACATCGTGCAGCGGTACCTGGAGGACCCTTACCTGCTCAACAAGTCAGTCAGTCAGTGGGCGGGACAGATAGCCGTGGCGTACATGCACACAAACACACACACATATACTAGTAGCTTATTGCCCTTCCCTCCCTCCCTCTCTTGTGTTGCTGTTCAGTCGCAAGTTTGACTTCCGCATCTTCGTGTTGGTGACCGGCCTGCTGCCCACACCCAGGGCGTACATCGCCAGACACGGCCTGGCAAGGTAAGGTACACACACGACACACGGACAGGTGCAGTGCACTCGTGTGTCCATGGTGTGTGCAATGGTGTGTGCCGTATATGCAGGTTTTGCACGGAGGATTACCAGCGGCCGACGCGCAAGAACTTCAGCTCTGTCTACATGCACTTCAGTCAGTCAGCCACACTCACACACACACACACACATGTACACCACACCCACCGCATTGCGCAGCTCACCGCACCGTGCTGTTTGTTGTTGATGCAGCCAACTTCAACCTGAACAAGGACAATGACGCCGCCTTCGTCCTTCCAGATGCATCAGGTGGGTGGTGAGTGTGTTGGTGGGTCTATAGACATATACACAACACAAATGCACACACCTGTCCTGTCCACCATGAATGTGTCAGACCTGCACGATTCGAGCAGCAGCAAGCGGCTCCTCGAGGACGTGCTCAAACAGCTACACGGTGAGCGGCGTCGCCATACGGTGTGTCAACTCGTCTGCCATCTCCATGTTCGTGCGCGCTGGTGTGCAGGAGTGGGTGTGGACGTCCGTCGCCTATGGCATGAGATCAAACTCATCGCCGCAAAGGTCACACACACCACACACACACACGGGCGCACCCAAGCGAAACACCTCCCGATGACGCCTGTTGTTTGTGCCTTCGCCCCACCCCCACGCACAGACGCTGATATGCCTGCAGCCGCTGCTAGCGCACAAGCTGGCGTGTGTGCAGTCCAGCACCCAGCTGGCCGCCCACTCATCGGGCGCCACATTCGCCAGGCTGATAGAGCCACACCGCACCGACACAAGGGGCTGCTCGTCACACGCCAATGTGCCGTGGAGGTGCTTCCAGGTGCGTATATGCACTATATAGGCCGATGGAACGTCTACAGGGCTGTGTGTGTTCTGTGTGTGTGTGTGTGGGCGTAGGTGTTGGGTATTGACATCTTGATGGACGAGGGCGGCCGGCCGTGGCTGCTGGAGGTCAACTCGAACCCATCGCTGCGCATCGACTTCCAGAAGCGAGATGGAGACGGCAACACCATGGCTGTCGACAGGTGGGGTGGCTGTGGGCGCATACACACACACAGACCACGTGTTTGTTTCTATGCCCCTCCACTCTGTCCGTGCAGTGCGCTGGATCGTTATGTGAAGGAGCCCCTCGTCACCGAGGCACTGAGGCTCTCCTACCAGCTTTTGGGCGGCAAACGGACCGTCAAGTGAGCCACCGACCCACTTACCCCCCCACATTCACCCCGCAACCCCCCCACCCCCATGCTTCTGTCCATCCGCATGAATCCCACGCAGGCGGCGGTCCTGCACCGACCTGATGGACTTGCCAAACAGCCCAGGCAAACGTGATCGTCAGGATGACGACAGCGACCCAGCTGCCACGCCCCCCGCCCCCCCTCTCGCCCTCCCCCTCCCCCGCGGCGACACTCTCAGCACCACCGACCAGACAGACGGAGAGTCCTCGCCCACTTCCACCTTCGCTGCGCCCCTCTCCCGCGACCCCTCGGCCTCACCCACCGCCAGCACGCACCTCGGGGGCGGCACTTCCTCAGTCTCGCCCAGGTCCATCGCTCACACCACGCAACCACCAAGGCGACGGCGCAACCCCCCACATGCGGTGCTGCGGCTGCGGGCCGACCCCGACCCTACAGCAATCAGACGGGACTCTCAGCCACAGCCACCAGCCGGGCGAGCGGGATCGGGTGCCTTCGGTGACCTGCCCACGGTGCCGCTGCCCGTCATTGATGTCAGCAGGGGCAAGAGCATGCCGCCCACCACAGGGGCCAAGCGGAAGAAGCGCAAGGACACAGCGGCAGCAGCAGCAGCAGCATCGTGCAGCAGCGGCGCGTCATCGCAGGCCGCACTCGACCCCCTTCAGCGGGACATGAGCGACGGCGTGTGGCAGCAGCTGCTGCCGGACCCCATGTTCGACTCCCTCTTGCTGCTGGACAAGGCCCGCCAGCTGTTCATGTGGGCGGCCCCGCCCCCCGCCGACGTGCTGTCGTGGTCTGCCTGGCGCCGGCTGTGTCGCGTGGGTCGATTAGAGGAGAGAGGTTGGCTGGGGTATGAGCTGGAGGGGCTGTGGTACCGCCACACGGACGAGGCGGCAACGCACCCGCAGCCGGAGGTCACCATGCCCATCAAGGGCAGGGGAGTCCCGCTATGGCGATTCTGGGACCTACTGGTCAGTCAGTCTGGGAACACAGCCGACCAGTGTCCTTGACTGACCAGTGTGTTCCTTGTGTGTGGATTCGTCGATCCAATGCAGGATGACCTGGCCGACCGGTGCGTGCGCTGCCCGTCTCCGCCGGTCCAGCCGGGGTCTCGCAGCCCACCAGATTTCTTCCCCTACACCCGTTCGCCGTCCCGCACGTCGCCCGTGCGGTCCCCCAGCCTCGGCAAGGTCAGCAGCCTGCCCCACCCCCCACCACCCCCCTCCCCCCTCTCACAACACACATCCACAGGCGCCCGGCGCGAGGGCCGGTCGGCATCGCTGGAGGGCCGGTCGCCGAGTCGCCTGCATGACGGCTATGGGTCAATGTGCACAATCGGAAGACGGAAGGGCAGCAAGCGGCGAGTGAGACGGCATGCGGTTGAGTGTGCCGTTGGTGTTGGTGCGTCAGGAGAAGGTGTGTGTGAGGAGGTGTGTATAGAGGAGGGTCGTGTGTACAGGGAGGAGGGGCAGACCCGGGAGGGCAGGCTGAGGTGGATGGTTGGGGTGCTGTGGGAAGCCATCGAGGCTGCAAGGGACGCAACCAACAATCGCTGACTGATACATGGACGGATGGGGAACGAGTGCGTGAATGACTCAGTGGATAGGTGAATAATTCGTCAGCTGCCTTTTGACCGATTTGTCCATGCGAGCTCAGAGATCGGTTTCAATTCTTGCCCTATCATAGGGCAGACCGTAACGGGTCCGTTACCGCTGGTATCTCCTGCTGCCCTCCTCCATTTCGAAGTCACGCACCATGTCGTCAGCCTCCCTTCGTCTTTCTTTCCTCCTTGCCGCTGCCTCGCCCTCGGATCCGTCCCGTACGGATGCGCCGCCTGCAACCCTGAGAATCGGAACAGCTGTGACAGTAAGAAGCAGCAGCCATCTACAGCCAGCCAACCTCTATCCACATCTGTTTCGTCTGTGTGTGTCGATTAGAAATCATTGCTAAAGACCCTGATTGGAGTGTGGCAAATGGCGATGTGGTGGGTGAATGGGCACCCAACCACCCCCACCACTGCGTACATCTGTGTGTGTTGCGCTGCACGTATGGATGGATGGATGCAGGTTGCGGACAACAATGTGAAAGCCGATTGGGCCGTCATCGCAGGCAATGTGAATCTTACTGTGGTGGGCGTCGGTGAAGTCCATGCACAAAATAGTGTGAGAGCCCCAAGTGCCGTCATCAGTGATGGAGTGACAGCCAATCGTAAGCCCTAAGGTTGTCACATAGCTGGCTAGCTCACTCGAGCTCCACATCCCGGTCTGTTGTTTTGTTCGACCATGCAGGCCTCGCGCTTGGCGTCCCTGGCGAAGAAGTGGGCATGCGGTTGGGTCAAACGGAGGCGGGTGACATGCGTGCGACTCGTAAGCCCTAAGGCTGTCATGTAGCTGGCTAGGTCACTCCACATCCCGGTCTGTTTCGTTGGTGCTTTGTTCGACCATGCAGGCATAGGGCTTGGCAATGAGAATATTGGTTCGAATTTTGACGGTTATTCCTTCCGTGCTCAACTTAAATGCTGGTGCAACGGTTTGGATGTACGCAGGCGCGTGTCTGCTGGTGCCTTAGAGGTCCACAGCCTCGACAGCGAACAGCCCTCTGCATCCATTGCCGAGTGGGACGATCACAACCGGTCGGCGGCCTATGCGGCTTTCCGGCAGCTCAATGTGCGCACCGACGGCGACACCCTCGGCCTGGTTGCCGCTGAGGTCCAGGAGCTCTTCCCACGGGCCGTTAGCTCGTTGGAAGCCGGTGCGCTCGGGGCGGAGACTGAGGCCGGGGAGATCGCGACCATCGACCTGACGCAGCTGGTCTACACGCAGATGGGGGTCATCCAGGACCTCATGAAGACGATGGAGAGTGTGCTCGGGCGCGTCGGTCGTCTTGAGGGCGGTCCCAGTGGCGAGCAGGAGGCATCGCACGGTCCGATCGAGGCCATCCAAAAAGCGATGGAGGGGCTCATGGCACCGTAGGTGCGGAGGTCACAGTCCATACTCAACAAGCTTCTGGCTGATAATTCATGGGAGGGGAATGGTGTGCTTCGTGGTGCCTGTCTGTCTGTCTGTCGAGTTGGCTCAGTTCAGTTTCATGTCGAATATCTGTGGTTGCGTACTTGTGTATGTGTGTATGCGGGGTGAGAGCCCCGCACACTGCGTTCGTTGAGTGAGATATTGTGGTGTATTTGTGCGGTTGTGGAGGGCAGACAGAAGAAGTATCTCTGTCAGACAGATAGACTTCTCCTATTCATTTGTCTGCAGTCAGTTGTTATTTGTTTCCGTACGAGTAGCCGAGTGGAAATGAGAAGGGCAAATCAGAGCCCTATCGTGTGCTTTCGGTCTTGTGCGCGTGTGTGTGTGTGTATGTGCCTCTGCCTCTGATGTGTCATCGTTTGTTCATTTGGCCGCCCTGTCGGCGAGAATCGGACTTGTGTATGATCTTATTTTCAGCCAATCAGACTTTTTGTATCTCTACAATGGACAGATGCATCGATCGATTTGCTTGAATGCGTGGCGTATGTGTCTCTATCCATCCATCCATAGGGTTCGGTCCATAGGGTTCGGGTTTCACCCTTTCCACTTACTCGCGCGATGTTTGGCGGTTTCCAGCAACAACAGCAGCAGCAGCAGCAGCAGCAGCAGGCTCCATCCCTCTTTGGAGGCCAGATGCAGATGGGAGTCATGGGTCAGCAGCAGCCATGGCAGCTGGGCATGACCAGCCAGCAGAACGAGGCGCAGCAGCAGTACATGAGGGAGATAGAGACCAGGAAGACCGCCCTTGAGCGTCCCAACCCCCGGTTCCTCGCCTACAGCTACACATACCAGACCAACAAGCAGGTGCTGCAGCAGAAGCTGCAGGGCCTGCCGGACGCCATTCAGCTGGCGCCCGACAAGTGGTCAAGAGCCGTGCAGGGAAACCCAAACCCAAACGAGTGAGCCACGATGACACACCGGCAACACATGCATCATGACGCCCGCGTTCGTGTGCGTGTGTGCAGGATTCACCCCGACGTCATCTATGGGTTCGAACAGCTCGAGCAGCGGGTAACGAACGAGTCAGATTCAGGCAGTAATGGGCAGGCAGAGAGGCGAGGGAAGGGCGCTATATGTGGTTGCATTGCTTTGTGTGTGTCGACCCGTGCGTGTCTTGTCAGTTCAACCAAGCCAAGTCCATGACGGAGCAGGTGCTGCAAGAGGAAGCGGTGAGCGAGCAGCCAGCCCATGGCAGCCAGGGAGGGACACACATGGACATGTACGCATCTCGGTGGTATTGCGTGTGTGGATGCAGAAGCAGAAGAAGCGTCTGCAGGACTTGGAGCTGGGGTTCACCACAAAGACACTCAGACTGGTCAGTCGGTCAGTCAGTCAGTCAGTCAAAGGTGCACACACATCCACGGGCCAAGACATGCACGTGTGCTGTGCTGTGCTGTGTTGTGTTGTGTTGTGTTCCTGTGTATCTGTACCGCTCTGCGTCAGCTGGAGGAGAATCGCCAGCGGCACATGGCCATCTCCAACCTCCTCACCAAAGTCCACACACAGCTAGAAGGTCAGGGCGGCGCAGCCATCCATCCATCCATCCATCAATCCATCCATCCATCCGTCTGGAGGGACTTGCCCCATCTCAGTGCGCGTCTGATGCTGCTTTGTATGAGTGTTGCGTGCAGCCTTCGCCGAATCGCAGGGCAACGTGTTGCACAACCGGCAAGCTGAGGTAAGTAAGCGACGATGAAGCCATCCATCCATCGGCAGCCGAAATGTGTGTGTCTTGTATGCCTGCAGCAATCGCTGGCTGACGACTACGCCAAACTCGAGACCAAGGTCCAGCAACCGGCCGACATAGCGGTAAGGATCAAGCCACCACCGACCACACCACACGACACACTACACTACACGCAACGCATTCGTTTCTGTGTTTCGTTTCCTGATGGACAGAACCACGTCATGGTGCTGCGGAAGAGCGTCCAGGTGCTCACGGGCCAGAAGAACGAACAGGGCACAAAACTCAAGAGGAACGAAGGTGAGCGACCAACGAAACCGCCGCTCGCCCCTCCAATCTCCCTCTCTCCCCTTCTCTCGCCTTCCATCAGATGAATCGTACTCGTCTCTGACGTCGTTTCTGGAGCTGGTGGCCAAGCAGTCGGAGGCCCTCTCGGCCGTGTGGCGCATGACAGTGGCCACCAAAGAGCACGCCAACGTCCTCAGCCAGGCCAGCAGTGCGTTCAGTGGCAGCAGCAGGGGGGTGGGTGGGCCTGGCGGTGGGCTGGGCTTCACCACCGACCCATCAGTCCTCACACAGGGGGGATACTTCGGTGCAGGCAGGCCGTGATGGGTCAGCTGGGGAACTATCGGTGCGATCGGATAGCTAGGTGTGCTTGTAATGGTCGGCTCTCTTGCCAACTTTGCTCTCCTGACTCCACTTTCGGATCGAGTTCGGATCTGACCAAGCTTGCGATCCGTGAGTGAGCGCAGCATAGCAGAGGGGCGGGAGCGTCCGCATGCATCCGGCTGTATGCATGCAGTACTTGTCCATATACAGACGGTCCTACACTCAATGAAACATGAGTGCATCCCATTATGTCGGCTTCACTCGTCCTCATCAAGGGTGATGAATTCGATCACAACCACTTGCGAGCTTGGCAGTCTTTTCCTCTTCGTTGGGGATGCAGACCAACAGCGCTTGCAACTGCAGCCGATTCAGGTTAGATGAGATCACGTTTGAGAACTGCTTTCGTGTGTGCACCTCCTCGTGGCTGTGCTGCGTGAGAAATGGACAGCGTGTGTTGCGCCTCGTGTGGTGCAGGCGCAAGCTGGCAATCGTCACAGCATCCACAGCTGGTAAGGACAACACATGCACACGTGCAACACGGACAGAGGCAGACCCATCGATTGCCGTGGCCTCGTTTGTGCTGTGCTGTTGGTTCTCGCAGGCATCGGCTACGTCATTGCGAGGCGGCTGGCTCAGGAGGGTGCCGACGTGGTCATCAGTTCTCGCAAAGCCAAGAACGTTGACGAGGCAGTGGTGGCTCTGCAGCGGGAGGGCCTGAGCGTCAGGGGGGTGGCCTGCCATGTGGCCAAGAGGGAGGACAGGCAACGCCTGGTGCAAGCTGCTGTCGAATGGTGCGTGGGTGGATATATGCACAGATTCGCGAATCTCTCCATAAATGAACGAATGAATGAACCAATGAATGTGTGTGTGCAGGAAGGGTCGCATCGATGTGTTGGTGTCCAACGCCGCAGCGTCAACCGCTATGGGTTCCGTGTTGGATACAGACGAGACGGCATACGACAAAATGATGGAAACCAACCTCAAAAGCAGTGAGCAGACAACCTGATAGACAGACAGACACGAGTCGCGTCCAGCTGACTGTCGGTATGTATGCTTTGCTGATAGGTTTCTTCCTGATCCAGGATGCGGTGCCTCATCTGGCGGATGGCGCCTCGATCTTGTTTGTGTCGTCCTATCTGGCCTTCCAGCCGGCCGACCCGATAGCCATCTACGGCGTCACCAAGACGGCCCTGCTGGGCCTTACCAAGGCACTCGCCCATCAGGTGTGCCTGTCTTTGCTTTCCCAACCGATGGTTGGCGTGGCTTGGTGTGGCGTGTGTGTGTGCAGCTTGGTGAGCGGGGCATCCGCGTCAACTGCATCGCACCTGGCGTCGTCAAGACACGATTCTCGTCGGCACGTGAGGGACTCACACATGCAATCACTCAGATCGCCTGCAGACACTGTTCGGCGTGTCCATGTGTGTGTGTTGCAATCAACCAGTGTGGGAGGAGGACTCGACGGCCGACATTTCCATACAGAGGACGTTCCTCAAGCGCCTCGCCGAAGCGGATGATATCGCTGGTAGGCAATGCGGTGAGCTGAGTGGACGGTCGGCGTGTGTGTCATGGGTGTCGTTTGTTGGTCTCCTTCCTGCGCTCAGGGCCGGCCGCATTCCTGTGTTCGTGTGACGCGGCGTATGTCACTGGGGAGTGCCTTGTGGTGGCCGGGGGTATGCAGTCAAGGCTGTGATAGAGTCGGCGTGCTGATGGTGTGTATGTGTAGATCCTTTCTGCACTGACCAACCGATCGCGATACATGAGAAAAGGACGACATGCGGTTGGTGCAATCTGATCGATGCGTGAATCGAGAGGAGGGAAGTCTCAGACACACGCTCACACACACACTCAGCCCCATTCATATGCACAAACATGCGTCCATCCGCACACAAAACAGATGGATGGATGGATGGATGGCCCTTCGTCGCCCATCTCACCCTCCATCAGCCAGACTAGGCAGGCGAGACAAGGAGTCAAAACGACCATCATGTAGCTCTACACACATCGATTCAACACACACACACACCCCTCACCCGCCCACCAATAAGCGCCAATCCTACTCTGCTGCCGGTTGCCCGATACCCTCAACCCTCCCAGTGCTATCGAGATCGAGAGATCGAGAGATCGAGAGAGAGAGAGAGTGTGTATGTGTGTGTCTGATAACCATCCCTCCCTCCCTCCCTCCGTCCCTTCAGACGGAAGAGGGGGCGGGGCAGTGGACAAATGCGCTCCTCACCCCCCGCACTGCCGCTCCCTCTCCTCTCCCAATACGCCAGGTCCCAGTTGATAAAACTGCTGGCGAACCAGCCATCGTCGCCCTCCCCCCACTCTGACTGACACCGGCACCCCGATGGAGTAGGTCGTCGTGGTGGGGGTGGGTGGGGATGGGGCGTGGGAGAGGGGATGTCCGTTGGATGGCGTAGGACGGTTCGACGTAATTCATGTGTGTGAAATGCATGTTCTCAAAGGTCAACCAAGTTCATGTCTCAGCTGGTGTGTTCCTTTGTGTCTCTCACACATTCATATACGGCGTATGTGAGCAAAAACAACGAAGACATTCTGGGCGGGCCCGTGGGTCTGTCTAAAGGTCCGCACTCTTTCTTGTCCGATCGAATGGGTCTGCAGCAATATACACACACATGTAGCACACTTACATACCCAAACGAATGCATCATTGATATGTTCACGGACGTACATACTGTGGTTGTCGTTGCTGTCCAGGAAGGACAGTCAAGGAGGTGACACCAGAGGACGTCCTTGGCTGTCTGCAAGCACATCCAGCACAACATGTGCACACAAAGCACAGTGTTATCGATCCTTTGCGTGTGTGTGTGACTGCGTATACGAGGGAACTTGACGGGCCTCCATTTGCGAGCGCCCGGGGCAAAGCTCTTGTTCACCCACGTCTTGGGCTGCGCACACGACGCACATACATCCGCGTGCACATGCATACGATGAATGCGGACCCCCTTCCTGCACCCACCAACCCATTCACCCACCCAGCATCCAACAGTGCCGTAGACAGGGGGGTATCGGCCGCACACGCACTCGACCTCGACCGTCTCTGCATTCGTAGACAGCCACATTCACGCATGAGCGAATCCACGTTTGCAGCCATCCATTCATCCACCCGTACCATCTGGCACTTCTCCCTTGATGTCTTTACAAGGCGTATCAGAGGAAGAGCACTCGCCAGGGATGGTCATCTCACAGGGGCTTGGTGTGGCGAGATCATTCTTGACATGGCAGCCGTACTCGCCAGTTTCTTTGTGTGTGCCGCAGTGACACGGGTCGCCGGACAGGTGGTCGGGCAGCTCCTTGCTGCATACGTCAGAGAGACATGAAACCATGATATCCACGTGTCTCCCTGGAGACAGGCACAAAGAACTCACCCGGCCTTCGTGTAAGATCGGTCCGCGCCGCAGAGGGCTTTCCTGCTCGAATCTGAGCGCCACGCCCGTGTGGACACATGCATCAGCGCAAAGCTATGTTTTGCACAGCGTGTGTGTCTCAGCCAACCTCACCAGCAGCGCATGTGTTCACGTGATCCATGAAGGGGCAGGTATCGTGCGAAGGCGGAGAGGCGGACGTCAGGTCGCTCTCCAGCTGCGCAGCGAACACACAAGAATATACAGATAGAGGCCTGTGCAAGTGCCAGCTGCTTACGTGGCATCCGTACTGCCCTGTCTTTCGGCTCGTTCCGCATCGGCAGAGCTCGGAGTTGTACTCAGGAATGCTCCTCTCTTCACCGTCCCTGCAAGACGCAAACCGGATTCCCTTCAATGAGCGCATCTGTCTGCATGGATGCGTACTTAGTAAGCGTTATTTTGGATTCCTTGGCTCCACATGATTTCGCAGTCCTCATGGGGCAGTCCAGATACCTCACACAGACACACAGGCAGTGAAGGCCCTTCCATTAAAGTGCGTAGCCCCGACTAGATCGGCCGCAGCTACCTCACCTCCACATCACGGGACACGTGTCATTTTGCCCTGTAGGCAGGCAGGCATCACTCATTGATCCTGGAAGAAGGAACGCCGTATTTTGGCCCACGTGCCTTACCCCGATGATCCTTCAACTCGAAGCTGCCATTGCAAAGGCAAAGCAACGAGGCCGTCGAAACCAACAGGGCCACTGCAGGGGAAAAAGGAATGGCTGGCATTGTCAAAGGATGAAGCAGAGTCTGATTCCCGTGCTCTTGATCGGGCCCGGGGCGCCCCCACCATGGTTTCCCGGCGTCTCCGAGTCTGTCTCCTCCCCTTTCCTCGGTCGAGAGTCCTCCTCGGGATCTATGGGGTGGCAAGCTGCATGGCGTTTGTCGTGCGTCGATTGCTGCGTCGTGGGCTAGCATGGGTGAATAGTGTCTCAGGTTGTTCCACCTCCCTATGTAGAAATAAATCCCCCCTCCCCTACCCGGGAACCGTCCATTTGCAGGAGCTAACTAATGAAGGCAGTGCAGAGCCCACCATCCCAGGACGATTGTCGCTACCCACCCAGCGCTACCCACACGCGACGAGACACTACTACTGTCCTTTTCCGGCGGTTGGGTGCTGCCTGGACCGATGAATCCATTCAGAAAAGACAATGAGAAAAGAAGCGTCTTTCTTCCTTTTTCGTTTGCTCACCGTCATTTCCATTGGGTGTGGGTGTGGGCGTTGACCCATCATCCCCCTGGCCATTGTCTGGTAAGCACGGGGCCTGCAGGTCGAGTGGGATGTCATTGCGCTCACAAGCTGGCCGGCTGTTGAAAGGCCCTTTAAGTGTGCCATCCAGCATCTCAAAGTCCTGAAGCATGTCGTGACATGCGTGGCACGCATCTCAAGCTGGGTCCGTGTGTGATGTGCTGTGTGAACTCACCACTGGCAGCAAGCCATGGAGGTCTCGTGTGCCGAAGCCAGAAGCAGCGTACTTGGCGCCCTGGTAGCCCGAGTAGTCATCATTGAGAGCAGTGAGAGCAATATTCCCCCCGTCAGACAACAGCATGCCATACTGCACACACACGCAGAGAGACACGCATGTCCAGCCATCCTTCTGTCATCGATGTCTGTTGATTGGTGTGAGACCCACCTTCTTGAGTGCTCGGAGGACCACCTGTGCGCCCTGCTTGTAGCCGCTGATGTCGTACTCGGCCTTGAGGCGAAATCTGCTGCCGTAGACGACCGAGTCCTCATCAGTGGCCTGGGGGCCGCCATAGTGGCTCGCTGGATGCATGTAGGTACCTGTGTGCACATATACATCGCCCCAACTACCCATGCGTGTGTGTCGGTCAGTCAGAGGACATCACACCAGCGCGCATTCTGTTGTTGGGCAGGATGAATCGGATGGCGTGGTCGATAGAACCGTTCTCGATCTCGTCGGCAGTGAACAGCAGTGGAGCGATGGGAAATCCCGCAGCGTCGGCTGAGGTGCATCCGTCCCCACGGCCGTCGGGCGGATAGAGATGCGACACATTCCACACCACTAGACACGTGCTGGTCACTTACTTGCCACACACGAGGGAGGGAGGGAGGGAGGGAGGGAGGGAAGAGACACAGACGTTACATTGCTGGGCGCATGGTATCGATGTGCCTGTCTCTCTCACCTTGTGTGACTTTCTTGGATGCATCTAGCGTCACGTCGGTGTCCCAGCTCTCGTACAGCAGATCCCTCGAAGTGTCATGCACCTAGACACACACACACACACACACACACAGGCGTGTCTGATTTTTCATTCCCTCTTCCATGCATTGCGCCCGTCGCTGTATGACACACGTGTGCACACCAGCAGATGGCAGTCGCCACTGCAGCCTTCCTTCCATGTGCGTTCGCCGCTCTCTAGCGCCCCTGAGCCGTCAGCGGGCAGCGGCACTCCGTCGACATTGTCGCATGCTTCCTCGTAGTAGTCTTTCTTGGGCACAAATGGTACTTCCGTGACATCGTTGCAGCCCACTTGTAGCAACGTCATCGACCAATCTGCACCAACGGAACGCAAGTCGGTCAGAACACATAGTGACTGCTGCAATCGACATTCGCTTTGACGTATGTGCTGCAATCGACCGATTTGGAAGAGGTTGTTGTTCCCCCAGCCGCCTGCGCTTGACAGCCAGCTGATGATTTTGGCGCTGTCAGGGTGCACAGCTGCATTGGTCACGTCCTCATTCCTGTCGAAAATACATCAAGGAGAGAAACGGGGGCGGGGTTGACGAGGGGCAACGGCTTGAACCAACCATGGCGAGCCATCAGGGAAGCGGGGCAGCTCCAGCCCACGCGACACACCCAGCAGGAGAGTGTGCAGCAGCCACACGTGGCCGCTAGCAGTCATACTTTTGCATTCGGCCCGGCGAAGCCCGCAGGACGAAATTGTGGGCCAGAGTGTGGATGACACAAATCATTCAATTGCAGTGTTTAAATACTGTCATGCAGATCTCACACCACCAATTCTCGCTTCACCACCACCACCACATCCATCCATCCATCCATCCATCCACGGCATCTGTACAATACGTCCACCATCCACTGTGTCGTGCATCCACTGGCAGGCAGTAGTAAGACACCTACCCACCCCACCCCCCGCCACCAAACCAATCGGAGCATCCAAGGGCACGCGCGTGAGTGAATGAGTGAATGGGCAAGGCAGAGGAAAAAAACGCAGCTGTATGCAGAGAAGGGCCGTGTGACCCATGGGTGCGGTGTATCAATAGGGTCTGCAGAGCATCACGCCAGCTCGTGGAGCGGCGCACAGACAGGTAGATTACACAATAAGCACTGCGATGAGGATACAGTGACGCACACAGAGGCGGCCGCGAGTCGGTGGTGAAAACCAGCCACCCCAAAACCCTCGCTGCACGCAACGTTGCCCCCTGGCTGTGCTGTATCTGAGCGTCATTGCTGCCTCCGGTGGGGATGCGTAGCGACGGACACTGATCGAGATCTTGATCCGATCAGCCATCAGACGCTACGCATCTCCACAGCAGACAGCAGTGACACTGACAGATGGTGCCAACCAACCAATGTACAGATTCGAGCCAGTGTACAGGTATGTCATGGAGAGAGATAGATATGTATGGAGGCCGCCCCCGCCATGTGCGATCGACGAACACATACATACACCCTCAGCTCCCCCTCCTCTAGCCCCCCCCCCTCCCGGTCGCACGAGGCAGCCGCTCGCCCGTTCTCTCTCTCTTTCTCTCTTTGCTCGCACTGCCAACGTCAGTCGAACAAAAAATCGCCCCCTCTGCAGACTCCACTACATATTGCCCGCCCGCTTGGTTGGTACATACAGATACGCAGCTCTCGCTGTCGTGACGCAGACACAAACTCAGCCAGTCAGCCACCCACCCAGTCAGCCAGTTAGTAGGTCAAAAACACACAGAGGGGGGCAGTGGGGACAACCATGCCATGTGTGTGGGTGTGTTGTGTTGTGGTGGGTTGTGCGGCCGGTCCGTCTCTGAGAGATCACCATGGACGCATCCATGCGCGCACACGCAAACGCACTCAGCTCACTCTCCCGCACAGAACTGACCACGCACGGGACCATTGTCTAGAGTGTCGCATCGGACCCACTCTTCTGGACAAATCGAGAGCGTTGCCACGACGACCATCGACAGACAGACAGACAGACAGACACACCCACACAAATGCACTCACTCACTCACCCCTACACCCCTACAGATAGTGGCTGGTCTGGCTGGCTCTCGTCCTTCGACGCGGGGGTCTTCTTCTCAGCGGCCATGTCGGTGCCGCCGAAGAGGTCCGACCTTCTCATGATGACCACGTTGCCGTCGGCATCCAGGTCAGCGATGGCCTGGTCGCCCTCCTTGATCTGGCCACGCAGAGTCGCCTCAGCTATATTGTCCTCAAGCAGACGCATTATCGCTCGTCTGACATTACACACAATACCCACAACCACAATGCTCACATGGTCACATGGATGAGTGCGTGTCGCGTGTCATCTGAGTACCTGAGTGGCCGCGCGCCATAGACGGGGTCGAATCCCTCGTCGACGAGCCGTTCTTTGAACCGGTCCGTGACGACTAGGTCGATGCCCTTGTCAGCGGTGCGTTCGTAGACCTGTGCAAGGAGAATGTCCGCTATGCGGCCCACCTCCGCCTTGGCCAGCTGGCGGAACACAATCGTCTCGTCCAACCGATTCAAAAACTCAGGCCTGACGGGACGGACAACACACACAGGGGACGTGTGTGTGTGTGGTGTCCGTGTGTGGCGGGCTGACGTCCTTCCTACCTGAAGTAGTTTTTGAGTTCTTCCTGGACGAGGGCCTTGATGCGGTTGTACTGGGCGTCCTTCTCGTTGCTCAGGTCGAAGCCAAGGCCGCCCGCCCCGGCCGATGCCCTCTCGATCACCTTGGAGCCCAGATTGGACGTCAGGATCAACAGGGTGTTCTTGAAGTCAACCGTGCGGCCCTTGGCATCAGTCAAGCGACCGTCCTCCAAAATCTGATGGGACGAAGGGACAGATAGACAGCGTGCATGGGCATGGCGGGGCTGGTCGTGTGTGGGATGGTTGCGTGTGCGCGTGGTACCTGGAGTAGTGTGTTGAAGACGTCCGGGTGTGCCTTCTCGATCTCGTCGAACAGCACCACGGTGTAGGGCTTCCGCCTGACAGCCTCGGTGAGCTGCCCGCCCTCATCGTACCCCACATAGCCGGGCGGCGAGCCGATCAGCTTGGACACCGAGAACCGCTCCATGTACTCGCTCATGTCCAGCCGCACCATGGCCTCCTCACTGTCGAACAGATACGACGCCAGCGCCTTGGTGAGCTCCGTCTTGCCCACACCCGTGGGGCCGCAGAAAAGGAAAGAGGCGATGGGTCGGTTGGGGTTCTTGAGGCCCGACTTAGCGCGTCGGATAGCCTTTGACACGGCCGTGACGGCCTCGTCCTGCCCGATGACGCGCTCGTGGAGAGTGCCCTCCATGTTGATGAGCTTCTCGCTGTCCGTCTTGGTCAGCTTCGTCACGGGGATACCGGTCCACGTCGCAACCACTCTGATTCAGCACAGCACAGCACAACACAGCACTTTGCATGTCTGTGTCTGGTTGCGTGTGTGACGTGTCGGGCGACTCACTCTGCGACGTTCTCGACATCGACGGTCGGGGCGGATTCGGTTCTGTTGGGGACGAGCGCGTCGATCTGTTGGCGGAGCTCCATCTCACGCTCCCTCAGCTGTGCTGCTTTCTCAAAGTCCTCCGTCCGCTTGGCCTCCTCCTGACCTCGCAAATTCTCCTTCAACTCGCGATCCTGCTCAACACACACACACACACACACACAGATGAGGCGAGTCTCAGTGTGGGCAAGCCATGTGTGACGGGGGTGCGGCGTACGAGTGCTCTTGCGGCGACAGGGAGTTTGGTGTGGCAGATCTTGACGTTGGATCCTGCCTCGTCCATGAGGTCGATGGCCTTGTCGGGCAGATACCTGTCGCTGATGTACTGCTCGGAAAAACGAGCTGCAAATCGAATCGACACACAAGGACACCGTGCTTATGTGTCGGTCTATCCGGCGTATGAATGAATGCTGTTGGTGCTTACCAGAGGCCTGTAGTGCGTCGTCAGTGTACTTGAGCCCGTGGAACTGCTCGTACCGGCCCGACAGCCCCCTAAGGATCTCAATCGTGTCCTCGATGGACGGCTCGTCCACCATCACCGGCTGGAAACGACGCTCAAGGGCAGCATCCTGACACACACAGACAAAGAGGGTCAAGGGATGGAGTGCCGCATGCGACAAGACGGTTTGTGGTCCGTCATCTCAGATGCTCACCCTCTCGAAGTGTTTCTTGTATTCGTCAAGCGTGGTTGCGCCGATACACTGGAACTCACCACGAGCAAGGGCGGGCTTGAGCAAGTTGGCGGCATCCAGGGCACCCTCACCCGCACCAGCACCTGACCACAACCAGACACACAGTAGCCAAACATCATCCCTCTGTCTCTCGGTGATGCTCCTCCTTTGCCATCCCAAGTTACCGATGAGCGTGTGGATCTCGTCAATGACGAGCACGATGTTGCCGGCCTTCTTAACGTCGTCCATGATCTTCTTGAGCCGCTCCTCAAACTCGCCCCTGTACTTGGTCCCGGCCACCAGCAGCCCCATGTCCAGCACACACACACGCTTGTTCTCCAGCATCGACGGCACGTCGCGGTTGGCTATCCGCTGTGCCAGTCCCTCAGCAATGGCCGTCTTGCCCACGCCCGGCTCGCCGATCAGCACCGGGTTGGACTTGGTCCGCCGGGCAAGGATCTGCACGACACGGTCGATCTCCTTCTGGCGGCCGACGACCGGGTCGAGCTGTGACTTGGCGGCCTTTTCTGTGAGGTCGATGGAGAACTCCTTGAGTGTGGGTGTGGATCGGCCTCTGTCTGAGGGGCCGCCGACGGTGGCGAATTCCTCGGCGTCGTTGAGCATCTTCATGACCTCGGCCTTGATCTTCTCCTTGTCAAGACCCATCGACTGCAGCACCTTGGATATGTTGCCTGCACATATGGGTGCAGCGACACACGAACACACCCACATGGACGGAGGCTATGTGCATGGCACACGTCGTGTCGTGTCGTGTTGTGTGCGTGCCCCTCCCTCACCGTCTTCCTCTTTGAGTACGCCGAGCAGCAGGTGCTCCGTGTCGATGTAGGCGTGTCCCAGCTGTCTGGCCTCCTCGAGTGCCCGCTCGAGGGCCTGCTTGGCCCTCGGGGTGAAGGGGATCTCGGGCGCCACAAAACCCGACCCCTTGCCGATGAGCTCCTCGATCTTCTGACGCGTCTCCTTCAGAGACACCCCCAGGTTCTTCAACACGCGGCCCGCAATGCCGTTGGACTGCCCGATGAGCCCCAGGAACAGCTGCTCGGTGCCCACGAAGTTGTGCCCCACCCGCCTAGACTCCTCTTGCGCAAGCATGATGACCTTGATGGCCTTCTCCGTGAAGTTCTCAAACATCATCCGCAGTCCCATGCGACCCTTCCGTGCTCGCAGGCCGTTTGCCTTGTGCCGCGACAGGGGTTGCGCCAGCTGCGGGCCGCGCAGCCTCGAGATGGGCTGCATGGGAGCATAGCGGGGGACAGCGGGGTTGCCGAAGCGGACGGATGGGACGAATCCCACGGCTGACGAGGGGTAGGGGTCGCTCAAGCGGATAGATCCGCCCTCCATCAGCAGGAGAGGCAGGCCGACCACTGACATGAGCAGCTTCATTTCTCACAGGCCACCAGGCAGCTTCGAGGATCACAGACGGGATGCCGCAGATCTCTCAAACAAGATCCAAACACTCCCGTGCCCTTCTCCTTTTTTGTCTCGCCAGTGCGAGCTTTGACACTGCTGCAAGCTTAGATTTGGCGAGGAGGGAAATGCGCCAGAGCATGGCCTCTCTGAAAAGGATGCGGCTGCTGCGTACCATAGATCTGGTCATCTCTCTCGTTGTGTGTGCATGCGTCGTTCGCGGAGAGCTGAGCTGCCTGAGCGACGCCTTCAAGCTGACGGACTTACCGCACGGCATCCCACACCACTGCGGCCTCAAGAAGCACAACGAGGATGGCATCCATCTGCGCATCAATGTCCACACGAACGAAGCCGCTCGGCTCCCGAGATACGAGATGAGCGTCGTCAAGCGCAAGGGCGGCGTGGACGAGCAGCTGCTGCACCTCAACTCGTCCCGCCACGCATTCGTCACCCGCAAGGGCCAGACCATGTCACCGGCCAACGGCGCCCTCAACCTGACCAAGCAGACCTACCTCTCTGAGCCCGACTATGACTACGAGCGGTGGCGCTTCTACTGGGGCGACAAGCAGCTTAAGGCCAAGGCACCACCCAAGCAGGCCATGCGTACACAGGCACAGGCGCCGGTGGACTACCTGTTCGCCACCAAGATCCATCGGCTGGGGTCGTCATGTGTGTTCTTCGACCACTTCTTCCCATTCGGCTTGCAGGACACTGCAGCGGCCGACAAGGACGACCTGTCCACGGCATTCCCCGTCTTCGACATGCCATCCGCTGAACAGAAGATCGGCTACGCGTCCCTCTACGGCCCGTTCGGCTGGTCGCCCCAGTACGGCCCCTTCTCTCGCAGCACGAGTGACGTCAAGAAGATCCCCAAGGGCATCAAGGGCGGCCTGCCGCTGTTCCTGTTCGACGAGAAACAGCAGTTCGTGTGTGTCGTGTCGCCCGCCAACCGGTTCGAGTCGTTCTCTCTGGGCGTCAAGAACGACACGGATGGTTCGCCGGCAGAGTTTCAGATGGGCGTGATGGGGTCGGTAGAGAGCTACGGGCACCTGGTGATGCACACGATGGTCTTCTGCACCGAGGGGGGGATGAACGAGGCGATTGACAAGTGGGGAGTGGTGCTGCGGTCCTTCTACCCTGAGAGCGAGCGGCGGCCATTCGACCTCTTCTCCGAATACGTCACCTACTGGACTGACAACGGAGGTCAGTGCTGCTCGTGTGTTGCGACATACGTCCACGCATGTGTGTGTGTGTGTGTGTGTGTGTGTGTGTCAGCGTATTACTATTACCACACAGAGGAGAAGACGTCGTACGAGGACAGTCTGCTGGGGGTGCAGCGGTACTGGCAGGAACAGACTCCCATGGAACTCAAAGTAAGGCAGACAGGAGACGACACACAACACACAATCGAGCTCACCCTTTACTCTGCGGGCCGCTTGCTGTCATGGATGGACTGCAGGGCCTGCAGCTTGACTCGTGGTTCTACCGCAAGACGCTCAAGCACCAGGGCACATACACGTGGGACGCCGACGCAGAGATCTTCCCAAACGGCCTCAGGGAACTCCACAAGAAACTCGGACTGCCACTCGCTGGTGACCATCTGCACCACAGACAACCGACCAGCCGCGCATGCCCTTACCTTTACCTTGTCTGTGATGTGTGTGTGTGTTGGATCCATCCATGCAGCGCACAATCGCTACTTTGCGACTGACAGTCCGTACGACAATGCCAACGGCGGCAAGTACAGCTTCATCCGCGACACCGACAGCCAGATGGCCGTGTCCGTCGACCCCGTCTTCTGGCACGACCTATACAGAAACGCGTAAGTAAACAGACACACACAGGCGCCTCTTTGGCGGCCGCACAGTGTGTGTGTGTGTGTGTGGTGTCCGTCCTACGCCAGCACTGGCTGGGGCCTGCGGATGTACGAGCAGGATTGGCTGTACTTCATGGTCGAGTTCATGCCACAGCTCACACAAGACGTCAACCTGCTCGCCAGATACATGAGCCTCATGACCATGTCTGCAGTCCAATACAATACAGACACCCCTCTGCCCACACAAGCCCCCATATGTGTGTGTCTGTGTGTGTGTGCAGGACGGCAGGTGAGTATGGTGTGGCGGTGCAGCTGTGCATGCCGTACCCGCGGCACATCATGGCTGCGGTGCAGTACAACCCTGTCGCGTCCATACGCGCATCCGACGACTACACCCCCGGCAACCTGCAGTGGGACATCGGCATCACCGCACCAATCATAAGGGTCAGGCAGTCAGCTCAGTCAGCCGCCACACAGCCAAGAGGAAAGAAGTCTCATGCTTGACGGTTGTGTGTGCATGTGTGTGTGCAGTCGCTGGGCATCGCGCCCTTCAAAGATGTGTTTTGGTCGACCAATGCGACGACGGACAAGTACGGCGGGTTCAACGAGCCCTTCCCCGACCTACAGCTGGCCATGGCCACCCTCTCCACCGGACCTGTGGCCGTCGGCGACAAAATCGGCCTCACCGACTGGCAACTCGTCGCAAAATGCTGCAGACAAGACGGTCAGTGGGTGAACATGCACTCAGACAAGCGCAATGCGCCCCGCCCATCCCTGTTGTCCTTGTGCAGGGAGGATTCTGAAGCCTTCCCGGCCGATCGCCTTTGTGGATTCTCACTACTCGAGCAAGGCCTTCAAGGCGCCCACCTTTGGCTCCGGTGGTGTGTCTGTGGACTATGCGGATAAGATGTACTACACGTACACTCACATCGGGAAGCACCGGTTCTACATCTTCCTGGGCTTCCGGCTCACACACGACTACCACGTCAGCCTAGACCACTACCCTCACCTCAAGAAATGGGACATGTGGGCCATCTGGAGGCCTACACAGCCCGACAAGGCCAGCAACCAGACACGCACCCATCCACTCCAGCTCATTCACAGTGTCGTGTGTGCGTGTGTGTGTGTGTGCGTGTGTGTGTGTGAGTGCAGGTGGAGCTGTGGACGGCCGACAGCCCTTTGGTTGTGCCAGCGGGTGGTTTGGGTGACCGGCCTCATTTAGTGTACGCGTCTCCCCTGTGGACGCACGGTCAGCGGCCCGAAATCATGGTGGCGCTGATCGGAGAACCAGACAAAATCGTCCCCATCTCGCCCAAACGGTTCGATGAGGTCTTCTTCGTCAGACAGGGTGGGTGCGGTGACCGACACGACACACGCCCCCTGAGAGGGAGAGAGAGCCGGCAGAGAGATCACACACATCATGGCTGCCAGAGAACAAGGCACACGTGTGGCCACTCTGTCTGTCTGTCTGAGTGTGTGTGTGGCGGTGTGTGTGCTGGTGTGTTGTCTGTCTTCAGGGACGACGTATCACCTGCACGTGCTGATCACCGGTGTGCCAGGCGAGACGGTGAAGGTCCGCTCCTTCATGACCAAGGACGGCGGCAGCACATTCGACACACACGTGGCCAAATTCACATTCTCCAAGACGAGTGGCGGTGGCGGTTTGGGTGAGCGGGCCAACCAAGACGGCAGTGTGACCATGGAGGCCGTCATCACTCTGCCCGCCGACGACCACTCAGAGGTCGCTGTGGTCGCCTAGCTTTTCTGTCGGTCGGGTTTCAGTGTGTGCGCTGTGTATGACGAGACGAAGAGAGAGAGATCAGATGTGGATGGACAAGTGACTTTGGGTCGAGTGGATGGATGGATGGATGGACGGCCGGTCATGTGTGTATTTGTTCGTGTTTTTCGATGTCGGCAGCTTTGTGTACTCGTCGGTAGTCACAGGTGGTGAGCATCGATGGCAGGTAAGGTAGGCACTAGATAGATAGGAAACGGTGACTTTTTCTCCTGTGGTTGGTGTATGTGGGCCGTGCTTAAACCATCTATGCAATCTATGCTATGCATCACTGGAGCGGTCCCTCCCGTGCGCCCACAGCTCATGTATACGTGGAATGAACGTGTCGCTGACCACACCGTGTCGGTCATTGATATCTGACGCCATGCACTCATTCACTACACACCCTCCATCCCTCCGATGCGCTCACTCCCTCCCTCACTCTGCTGTGTCGCAAGGAGGTACAGGGAATGGCCTGGCCGGCTGATCTGATCGAGTGAGTCGATAAATGAATGCTCGCTCTCTCGTATACACGCCACGCCCATTCCATGGGATCGGATCGGGTCATCCGCCAAACATACACACATTTATATACACACATACATACATACGTACATACAAACCCATAAAGGACATAATGTCATAGCCTTCCTCAGCGACTCTACATCACGCTCGAACGTCCCAATGCCATCCACAGGGACCGCGCTCTCACCCGACGCAGCCTTTCAGCAGGGAATGCCACCAAACCAGGTCTGGTCAGACCGGCAGCCAGCGCATATCAGTGAGTCAGTCAGTCGCAGTAAGCCAGGACGGCATCGGCGTCAGGCGGGTGCTCGAGGCCCACTCTAAACTGATTGGATGGATGCACCACACCACAAACACCGCACAAGGGAGGGAGTGAGCATGCAGGTGATTGACGGACCATCGTGCGCACGTGCCCTGCCCACCAGATTGTTGACGTTTGCGCTAATGTGTTGGTAGTCGGTCTGGCGTTGGGCGTCCACACAGATGGTGCCATTGGTGTCGATGTCGAAGGTCACCTGGATGTGCTGCCCACGGGAGGCCGGCTTGATGCCCTTCAAGTAGAAGCTGCAGAGCAGGTTGTTCTCGGCGGTCATCGTGCCCTCGCCCTCGTAGACCTGCACCCAACCAAGACATTACAGACAGATCATCACACACACAGACGCACGACACGGCACTTCACAGGTTTAGCCCGCTTGTGTGGACCTGTGCACTCCACTCCACTCACCTGAATGAGGACCTTCGTCTGGTTGTGGAGGTGCGTGCCGAAGGTGCAGGTCTTCTTGGTAGGCAGGGTGGTGTCGCGCTCGACAATCTTGGCCATTACGCCCCCTGCGGTCTCCACCCCCACTGAGATGGGCATGACGTCCAGAAGTATCAGGGGCTGCAGCTTGACGGACGGATCTTCACACAGCAACGCCGCCATGACCGCCGCACCGCGAGCCAACGCCCCGTCAGCAATGGGCCCGATCGGCGCCCTGCCGCCGAAGTAGTCCTGGAAAAACCATCGACAAAGATGTGTCTGGTGCTTCCTTCTGGTGTGTGATGTGTGTCGTGTTGAGCCGGTGTGTTACCTACCGTGATGAGCTCTTGGATCTTGGGGATGCGTGTTGAGCCGCCGACGAGCACCACATCGTGCACCGCCTCCTTGTCCATGCCGTCGTCCCTGAGCACCTTGTCAACCAGCAGCAGTACCTTCCTGAAGAACCCCGCACACAAGTCCTCAAAACGCGCCCGGGGGATGTGCACGGCGTAGTCGATGCCCTGACATCACACACAAGATGATAAGATGGCCAAAGGCAAACGACACACACACATGACGACATCATCGCAGTATCCCTCCCTCCCTCCCTCCCTCCCTCAGCACCTGAAAGAGGTTTTTGATTTCGATGGTGAATTCGGTGCCGGTGGAGAGTGTCAGCTTGGCCTTGTCGCACTCTGCCCGCAGCCAGCTCATCGCCTGTCTGTCGGTGGTGGGGTCCGTCCCCACGTTCTTGCCCATGAAGTCCTCCACGCAGAAGTCTACCAGACGACTGTCGATGTCCTCCCCGCCGAGCTCGACGCCCGCCGTGGCCCGGACATCGAACACGCCGTCATGCGCGGTGAGCAGCGTGACGTCACACGTGCCGCCGCCCATGTCCAAGATGAGCACATTGCGCTCGCCCGTGCCCATGTCGGCCGTCTTGTCGAGCCAGTGTGTGGCGATGGCGGCAGCACCGTGGTCGCTCATGATCCGCATGACGTTGAGGCCGCTCATCGTGGCGGCGTCCTTCACGGCCTGCCGCTGCGCATGGTTGAAGTGCCCGGGGACGCTGATGACGGCGTTCTTGACTGTCGTGCCGAGGGGTGCCTCGGCGGCATTCTTGAGCTTGGTCAGCACCATGGCCGTCACGTCCTCCACCAGCAGACCCTTGGTCTCGTGTTGGTGCGTCACCTCGATGATGGGTTTGCCGCCCTTGGCCCTCATGACCTTGAAAGGCCAGTACTTCAGGGCTGACTGCACCGACGGGTCATCGAAGCTGCGGCCGATCAGACGCTTGACGGCGAATATGGTGTTCTCGAGGTTGTTGCTCTGCTGCTGTTTGGCCGCCTCGCCGATGAGTGGCAGGGGGCTCTCCTTTGTGAAGGCCACACACGAGGGCATGGCGGGGTCATCATGCGCATTCGTAATAAGCTTCGCCTGACACAACCACACACACGTCCATCCATCCATCCCTCCATCCCTCCCATTCATCGACTCACGCGTCGCGTGCAGAATGAACGTGTTCATATCTATCTATGTACCGTGTTGTTTTGGAAGACGGCGACGCGTGAGTGCGTGGTGCCCAGGTCAATACCGATGGCAGGACCTGTGTGCACGAAAGCAAAGCACCAAACAGACAAACGAACCAGACGAAGCGATAGTGAAAGATCTCCCGTCTTGCAAGAATCGTGCTGCCTTACCCCCGGCGGCCATGGTGTGTGACGCTCAGCCAAGGAACGAGTTGCCGCGCCCGCCACGCTCGGTCGATCGGAGTGTGATCGTGCGTGGCCAGTGTACATGAATCGGACTCGCAAAAGACTCGGGAGGAGGGGGGCAAGGTCCCCGTTAACGCAACCACCACCGCCACGCTCGGATCGCCATTGCGAGCTAAGCTCAAAAGGGAGAGATCTGCCATCTTCAGGGCCACAAGCGACGTCGTTATGGAGGCACTCGTGCATGGCATCAGTCACTTTCGAAGATCAGCACCTCACAACGTCAGCTCGGCAGGCGATGACCCTCGGCAAGATGGAGATGCACTTAGCAGGAGGCAAAGGAGACGGCCACATCAACGACGACACACAACGCTCGCCGCTGACCGCTTTCCGTCCATCCATCTGTTGCTCCTCATCTCTCTCTACATGCACATCGGCTGTGCCTTCGTCCCGCCTTCATCAACGAGGATGCCGTCTGAGCGACGACTTCGGCGGATGCGGATGCGGCCGTCTATGGTGAGTGTTCCGTCCGGCAGTGAGCTGTGGGTTCCTCCCGCCGACCGGCCTGCACCGCCCGCGCCACCGAAGAATCTCGTTACTGCTACACAGGAGTGGCTCGACACATGGAAGGAGGTAAGATCGTGAGGGTATGGGAGTGTACGTCCGTCCATGATCGTTTCTGTTCTGTGTTGGTCTTCTTTGTGCAGGAGGGCACTTCCCGTGACTTGGAGATTGTCACTTTGCTCATGGAGCCTGACACACCCATCGTAGGCACGCACACGAGCTGACACAGCCAGGCAGACAGGCAAAGTATAGTCCGTATGTCTGTGTGTGTGCTCTTGTCTGTCTGTCTGTCAGGTTCCCGGGCAGCGCACCATCCTGGAGCTCGACAGGCAGGACGTCGACAAATTCAGGTGCGCACCGCACACCAACAAACTACAATGATGCGTATGCGTCGATGTGTATGTTTTTACGTGTGTGGCGACTCGACTCGCCGATTGATTGGCCAACAGGGACGCCATGCGAGCCAACAGGGGGTCGAATGACAAGGTGCACATCGTGCCCCTGGGCTTTGTCGAGAAGAACGTCGAGAACCGGCCTATCAGAGTCATGCCCGTCGGGGCGCTCGCAGAGGTACGCACCTACACACAAGTGAACGAACGCACCGACGGCTCTTGTATGTATGTATGTCTGTGTGTGTGTATGTGTGTGTTGTGTGGCTGTCTGTGTCAGCTGGTTGACCCGACCACTCTGTACACCAAGGGCGAGGTGGTGATTCGCCTCGTCGGCCGCATGCAGATCAGGAAAGTCGTCTCAGCCACGAGCAAACTGGTGGTACGTACGTACGTACGTCATACGTCGGTGCTCTCCACCCACACGCAGCGCGCCCGTATGTGTGTGTGCGCGTGTATCTGTGTGTGTGTGTGTGTGTGTGTGTTCAGGTTCACGCATCGCTGCTGCAGGACGAGGAGCCGTTCAAGGACAACCTGCCGCCACTCGCTGAGGAAACCATGCAAATCGTGTACAGGTGTGTTGCAAGATGCACACACCTGCACCCATTCACGCGGGCAACCATGACCCATTGCGTGGGGGTGGGGTGGGCAGGCTGTACGACCGGTGCAATGCCGAGGAAGCCGAAGTCAAGTAGGTCAATGCACCGCACCGCACCTGGACGTTCGCGTGTTTGGTTGGGTGGATGACACCTGTACACTCACTATGCGCTGCGGGTGTGTAGGCGGCTGCAGTCGAAATGGGAGCTGGCCGACAAAGCCGCCAAGCGGCAACCACTCACAGCAAAGGTAGATAGGGATGCACACGCAAACACCACACCCTTGCACTGCACTGCACTCGCCAGGTCCCTGTGAGCATGCCCAGCATCTATCATGGATGTCTTGATCAGGTTGACAGTTTCCTGGAGCTGGAGTCAGCCGTGAGCGGCGACAGGATCCTCTCGTGGGTGTCCTTCTGCGCAATGGAATACCACTTCGACACACAAACACGATACTGGGTATGGAAGGACGGGCGGACGGACCGACTCTGGTTGCTTCACGCAGCAGATAGATCTATGCGTGTGTGTACGGTGCGCATGTGGTTGTGCAGGCGCTGGAGCAGGTGAACCCAGTGATGCGGCTGGAGGTGGTCAAACAGGGACTCCAGGTGAGCAGCGCCGGATGGGCGGTGACACGAGAGAGAATCGGTGCACACACACGTCTGTCATTCTGTCTGTCTGGTGGCTGTGTGTTCCTTCCTCCTTCCTTCTATCAATCAGCAACGGCTGCGTCAGCTGCAGGCCGAGAGGAAACTCGCAGCAATTGGATCACTGTGAAGCGCGGCAGACAGACAAGAGCAATGGGTGTGATTGCAATCAAGAGTGGTGTGTGTGTTCATCGTCCGTCCGTCGGTGGTGTGTGCCGTCAGGGCACATTTGACTGATGCCTGCCTGGCCTGCAGTGCAGTGAGGCATTACCTGCGACTTCCCTCCATCCGTCCGTCCGTCATGGCTTTATCTTGATCTGTCTAATCACTCGCGGCTTTGCTCAATATCATAATCATCAATGTGAGGTTTCCTTGGTATCAGTCCGTCCGTCAGGAGCGTGCCTGACTGCCTGCCTGCCTAAATCACTGAAGTCGCCCAGACAAAACCACACACAGCCTCACGGACAAGCACATGCCCCAGTCGCCTTGGATGTTTTGTTCGGCCCACCCTAACACTTACGAGGCGATAGGTATTCCTACCAGGGTCCCCCAGCTGCCGTGCTGTCGCACTCCGGCTGAATAAGGAATCCGCCCCTTGGGCCAGGAGCCGTGTGTCGCAGATCACTCTCCTCTCCACTCCCCTCGCTGGGCGGCTGGTGTGTGGGAGGGGTGGGGAATGCCAGGACAGCCGACGCTTTCGATTCATCATGATCTCCGTTTTGCTGTGTGTGTGCCTCAGGTTCTCAGTCCTTCCAAATAGCTATATACATGCTGGAGGGTCCGTCCATCGCTGCATATGCTCTTCTGATCATTGCTAGGTGGGATGCGGGCAGCGAAGGGCACCAGCGTATCACCTGCACCCACCCATTGTGTGTCTGTGTGTCTGCCTGCAGCTTGGTTCCCTCATTATCCATGGCGCGAAGGAGTGCTCTGGTGGTCATTGACATGAGTGTGGAACAGGTAACACACAGACGCACAGGTAGTTCATGCGGGTGTGTGTGTTTGTTGCCCCCGTAGGTGGGAGATCTGTCGTATCGGAAGCAGCAGGTCATCGATACGATAGGCCGGCTCATCGACAGCAACGCCTTTGACCTTTGTGTCGACAGCAGGTGAGTGGGCGGCCGCACCGCACCGCACCGCACCGCACCGCACCGCACCCAGCTGAGCTGCATGTGTGTTGCGTTGCGCGTGCACGTCAGGCTGTGGATCACTGACCCATCCAAGAGCTCCCTGCCGACACTTTATCCGACTGTGGTGGGCACCCATGCACCGCACCCTGGACAAACAGACGATACGATGGCCAGTCCGTGTGTGAGTGTGCGTGTGTGTGTGTGCGTCAGGGTAGGGCGAGCACCAAGGGCGCGGAACTGATCCCTGAGCTCCGTGACAAGAACATGGTCTTCGTGCACAAATGGAACTACTCGGGTGGGGTGTGCAGGGCATCCAATGAATTCGATCACAGAGAGGGAGGGAGGGAATGCGATGCGTGTTGCGCCATTTTCCGTGTCAGGTTTCACCTCCCCATCGCGTTTGTCTGATGTGTTGAAGGAGCACCGCATCCAGGAGGTCTTCATGACGGGCATCAACACCAACTACTGCGTCTTCGCAACCGCCCTTGATGCCTTCTACCAGCAATACACGTACGCACGGCCCGGCCGAACAGGCACAGACAGGGAAATGAGTATATGTGTGTGTGTGTGTGTGTGTGTGTGCGGCAACAGCGTGCGTGTGATCGAAGATGCGGTCAGCTCAATTGAGGGCGCGCAGGTAGACATAAAAAAAAACACACACACGCACCGATAGACACCGCGAAAATCCATGCAGGCAGGCATTTTGATGTGGTGTCTGTTGCCTTCGTTGATGCCTGTGCCTTGGCAGGGTCACAAGGACGGTCTGCGGTGGATCTCCAAGTTCATGGGCGGCGATGTGGTGGTTACGAGCCACGACGCCATCAACCGAACCAACGATGCCCCCGTTGCCTAGGGCATGCACAGTGCCGTGTGCTGTAGTCCATAGCATGTAGTGTGTGTATTTGGTAGATAGAGCCTACCGAGAGAGAGAGTGTGTCGATACCTATGGCTGTATGTGTGTGTGTATCCACCCACCCAAATGTGTTGTGTTGTAGGCGGTAGCCGTACCACGGCAGTGAGTGATGCTTGGTTTGTTTGATACCAGTCTCTAAGCGGAGGGGACCGTTTTGTCTTATTGACCTCATTATAGATCGCCTGCATGCCATGCCTTATTTATTTGCTTAAATATTTGCCTGCCCGTTCTGTCTGCGCCTGAGGCTGGCCTGCCTGCTTTGTTGCCCTTCTGGCCTCTCCTCTCTCTCTCCTGCTGTCTGGCTGTGCTCTGCCGTCTGGCTGGCTGGAAAGGTGTCTTGCTTTTCTCTTTGAGGACGAGCAATGGCCGATTTTTCGTCTGAGGGCTAGCCACATTAGGCTTACAGACGCAGTGATCGGACACACCATCTGCCCTCAGGGGCAGGGGCTTCGGTGCATGTTGACGAACGAACGAACGCCTCGTTTGTTTGCAATGTTGGTTGGAACTGTCCACTCATTGATTCACTCACTAGTCGCACCAAGTCAGTCGCCGTGCAATAATCCATCCATCCATCCGTATACACAAACACATGTATTCCATGGAGTCAATCAGTCAATGCAAGCGTGTCGTGGTGCGTGTGTATGTATGACATTCATGTAGGTCGGTCCGCCTCCGGCAAACGATGTGACGTCGGGTGACGGCCTCTCACTATACCATGTCGGAGAGACCATCATACATACATCTACATCATCTGCTGCGAAAGCAGCCCAGCGGGTGTCATACACCACACCCAAGCACAACACGCAAAGCCGCTGCTCACCACACCACAGCACACCACACCACACACATAATCAAAACAGAACCCTCACACACACCTGTCCTTGCTCCCCCCCCTCTCTCCATCCATTGATGTATGAATTACTTCGATGGCACTGCACTGCACTCCTACCAGCCTGCCGACCTGTCCGCCTGCCGCCCTTTGTTGTTCCGCCTGCCGATCCCCAGCCCCCTCCCGTCGTCGATGTCCGCATCCTCATAATCCCTCATGCTGCTGGTCGAGGCTGGCGGGGGCAGGTCCGTGCTGACGCTGCCGATCGACGGCGACATCTCCTTGTTCTTCGGGGACCGCGATACAAGCGATGGCGACGCGGAGGGGGAGAATGGAGGGGGCGGGATGAACGACGCGTGGGGGGCCTTCCTGCCGCTGGCTGGCGTGTGTGTGGGTGCCTGTGGCGCCCTCTTGCTGCACAGAGATGCGACGGCCGCCGGGATCTTCTGCAGCTGAGCGAGCAGGTTGCCCTTGAGAGTGAGGTATGTGATGTAGGAGAGGGTCTTGCCGGGGAAACTCTTCAACTCACGCCAATACCACGCCAGCGTGCCTGCCACACACACAGACACGGAAACACGCGGCATTGGCCGACACATGTGTGTGTGGCCGTTGCTTAGTTGACAGCCCACCTGGCGTCACTGATCGTGGGTCGCTGCCGAGCCCAGACACGACAGCCCGACCCTGTGTGCACACCACACAGCAGAGCAGCACACGTGCGTCGAACTGAGTGAAGTGGAAGTTGGTTGACGTAGCTAACCATTTTCTTTTGTGCGGTGCGGTATTTGGCCTGGTCGTGTTGTATCTTGAGCTTGAGCTGCTTGCCCGCCGGGTTGCCCGTGTCCACCAGCAGCAGGGCGTCGAGGATGTCTATCGCCTCCTGGTAGTCCGTCAGCTGATACTGGCATATGCAGTCAGTGCACACACAGGCCGTGCTGCAGGTGGTTGAGCTGATTGCATGTCTTGGTGTGCGTGTTGGGGTAGTTACGAGTGCGTCAGCTTTCCGGAAGAGCGCCTTGACGTTAGCCGGGTCGACCTCCAACACACGGTCACAGTAGTCGATCGCCTCGTGGTAGTTCTGAGGGTGCACATCCATCCATCCACACACGCATGCATCCATCCACTCACTCCACAGGGCCGCCTTGTCTGCTGTCCATCCATGTATCCGTCTTGCTTGCCTTGGTTTTGATGTTTCCGATGGCCATATTGAGGTTGAGTGTCTTCTCAAGCTCCCGTATCTCCTTCTGCCCCGCCTCTTCGAGCATCTTCTTCGCCAAGATGTACCGGCAGCTGCGCAGCGATCGCTCCCAGTGGGTCAGCGCCGTCACATACTCACCATCACGATACGCCTGCATAACGAGTACAGTGTCTTGTGCGTATCAGCTTTGATGCAGTGCAATGCAGTCCGTGGCTTCCGACCTTATTGCCCTGCTCCTTCTCAGTCAGGTGCTTGTCCTGCTGGTCATCCTCGGCGTCATTCTCATTCTCCTTCTCTCCACCAGCAGAGGGCGCCTCGCTCTCGGTGCCGTTGACGGCCTCGGCAGCGTTGCCAGAGGCGTCTTGGCCATGTGCAGGCGAGGCCGCCTCCTTGGGCGACTCTTCCTCCCCGTTGCCGCCCGTCTGGGTGTCTGCTATGTCTGCTTCGCTCTCGACGCGCTTCTCAGAGTCAAGGTCCACGATCAGCGGCTCTGAAGCCATAACGCTCACCGCTCCACAGACAAGAGATGCAGGTCCTGGAGAAGAACAGAGCAAACAGGCTGCCTCCGAACAGAACAGACAAACAACAGACTCTCGCGAGGTTGGATCGTTTCGAGGGGATTCGCGCCCTTTCTCCGCGGCCCCCACCAGGCCCTCACAAAGAACGCATCACATCACGAGAGGGGAGTTCACGCAAGGTGCGCTGGCAGGGCCTGGCCGCATTTCATCTATGTGCTGGCCCTCCTTGTGCTTCTGTGTGCTTCACTCAGGCACGGTGACTGTCCCTGCCTCTCATCCCAGCAGCTGACGCTGAGGATCAGCTGGACCGCTGTATGGAGTCTTCTCCGCCAGGAGAGAACGGCGATAGCACAGGCAAATCGACATCGACGTCGGCAGCCAAGAAGAAGACCGTCAGAACCACTCTCCCCCCCATCGCCAAGGCAGCACAGCCGCCCGACCAACCTCAGGCTGACGTCGAGGCTCAGCAGGGTCTGGCCATGGAGGGCGCCAACCCAGTCGTCCCCTCGCCCCTAAAGGACAATGCTGACAGAGACGTCAGACCGCGTCAGCAGTCCTCACCGCTCCCCGGCGCCGTGCCACCCGAATCTGCCGATGCTGTGGCCGCAGGCAGGAGGGCGAGGAAGGAGTCTGTCACCCCAACTGGAGCAGACGACCCGAAGGGCGGCGGAGCGTCGGTGCGGTTCTCGGAGGTCATGATGAAGCAGTACACCATGAACAAACAGGGAGCCGGGGGAGAGGCAGCGGGAGGAGGAGACATGTCGCCTGTCCCGCCAGGCGGCAGCATTCCTAAAGGACCCAGCGCACCGGCACAAATGTCGAGGGGCAGCTCTCCCAAGGGCCGGACAGGCAGCCTCTCCCAGGCATCGCAGGGGAGCCTGAGCGTGGGCAGCAAGAGCCGCGGGACGACCTTTCAGAACCGCACACAGACGCTCAAGAGCGAGAGGTCTGACCGTCGGTATTCTGACTATGAGGACGAAGACGGCGAGCCTCCCAGTCCGTTGTCGAAGGGCAGTTCGGCGTGGGGCGAGTCGGTGATATGCCTCAAGGACATCATGGATGCGGTGTGGGTGCCCGAGGATTACAAGGCCAAGGAGTCCATCGTCAAAGCTGTCGGATTCCAGGCACTCGGGTTTGTTGGTGAGTTGAAGGGATGAAAAAGGATGGCTGCATGTGTACCTTTTGCTCTTGATCTCTGTGTGTGTGTATGTGTGTGTGTGTGTGTGCCTTTCGTGTGTAGGTCCGATAAAGGAAGCTCGTGTGCCGCTGACGATTTGCGCGCTATATGCCCCCAAGTTCTTCGACACTCTCCCGCTGCTCTTGCTGCTCCTCATCACAGTCATCTTCATATACATGGAAGGTCGCACAACTCACTCGACACACCAAGAAGGCCCCGCCCCCATACTCGCGTGTCTGTCTCACATGTCTGTCTTCTACAGGATGGAACACCGCCCGCAAGAAGCTGCACTACTACCGTCTGATGCCCAAGGAGGTGGTGATCGACTTCACCAAGCCCCAGATCATCCGAGAGTACCGGCTGGTGTGGGTGATCCTCACGTCGGTGTTCCTCTTTGTGTTCGACGACATCACCGTGTGGACGAGGGGCACGGAGAAGGAGAAGCTGATCTACGTGCAGCTGCACCTGGGGTACCTGGCGGCACTCATACTCTCCACCTACCAGGCTGTCGAGTTCGAAAGATTCCTCATCTCATTCAACAAAGTGAGACGGCGAGAGGGAGGGAGGGGAGGATAGAAGGCATGTGTGTCTGTGCCTCTGTGCAGCTGTTGGAGCATGACGATGTGTATCGCGAAGTGAGGAACGGTTGGAGCGACCTCATTCGAGTGCCTGAGGAGGTCTACATCAAATACATTCGGTAGGCAGGCAGGCAGGCGGGCCAGGCGTCCTGACTTATTCATTCATTAAGACACCGTCACCTCTCCCCCTTCTCCCTCCCTGTGTGTCTGTGTGTCTGTCTGTCTGCACGCGTTGGTCAGTGTGCGGATGAAGCAGTTGCGTGAGTGTCTGCGGGACACGTTGAAGGAGTACCCCGACCAGACCATTGACAGGACCAACCCGTCGTGGGTATACAGCAGGGCAGACATCATCTACTTCATGTACGTACCTACGTACCTACGTATACAGAAAGAAAGGCATAGATAGCTCAGCTGGACTGATTGGAGAGAGAGGACACACACCGCCCCGCCCACCCCACACGCATCAAGATGGATGGATGGATGAACATGCCTGTGTCTCTTGTGCACCGCACCTGCTTGGCTTGCAGTGAGAATGAGCTCGGCGAAGCTGATCTGGAGAAAGTCGAAGCGAGCACCTGGTGTGCGAGCGCACATGCCATGTCGTCTTTTCTCACATCATCATCCCTTGTTATGTTCGCCTCTGTGTGTGTCTGTCAGGGAGTACCTGCTCTATCAGGTCAAGGACGTGGCCTTTGGCTTCTGGCTCGTGTCAGCCAACCTCAGAGGCGAGAAGGCCACGCGAGACAGAATGGTCGCGCGCCGATCCCGCCTACAGCGCCTGAAAACGGGTGTCTCGGGCGGCCTCGTACGCGCCAAGACAGCGATCAACCCGCCCTCGTCGAAATCAAGCCGGCGAGTGACGCAGTACCCGGCATCTCAGGTTGGGAAGCGGAATTCGCTGCAGGGTGCGAGTGAGCGGCAGATAGGCGGCGACGAGAAGCCGGCCGGGTTCAGCCAGCTGCGGCAGAAGACCCTGGTGCTGGCGCCGTCCAGGGCCAAGCGGGAGGAGGAAGATAGCAGCCCGGGACCGCCTAGGGGGGACGCCAAAACCCCAGGCAGGGCCAGATTCGCGGACAGCACCGGTACGCCTGCCTGCAAGGAAGAAAGCACAACGCAGCACTACATGCACAATGTGTCTTGTTTGTATCTATCAGGCAAGCCCGAGACATTGACATTTGCGTCGTCCCGCAAGAGCACTGCGAAGGACAAGGACGCGTCCAAGCGGCGGATCAGCAACGCCAGTGAGGGTGCGGCGGCCGAGGCCGACGACAGGCGGAAGCTGTCGGTCAGCGGTGTGTCGGCCAAGTCGGGCATGATGTCGTCGGAGGATGAGGAAGACATCGAGAAAGGAATGAGGCAAACGGCCAGAAGGTCAGTCAGTACCCAGATATTTGACAAGATGTGCCCAACAACAAACGTAGATTGTACATGTCTCATCTTGTATGTCACATCAGGTCGTCCGTGACGCCGAAGCCTGTGGGTGTGTCCAAGGTGCTGCCCCGTCCGCAGGAGAAAGACCAGACACTGCCACCCGTGCAGGCAGCCAAGGCCCCCCCGCCCTTGCTGGCCCCAGTTGCTAAAGCCAAACCTGGCGGCCCCCCGGCCGCCAGCCCATCTGGCTGAACGACATGCAGGCATCTGCTCTCCTTTCTCTCTCTCTCTCTATCTCTCTCTCTCTATCTCTCTCTCTCCCTGATTCATTTCTTGTCATTCGCATGCATAGTGGTGCCGTGCCGTGCCGTGCTGTATTGTATTGTGCTGATGGCCCTTTTTTCAGCAGTTTTGTGTCAAGGGTTGAGTGCGTGCGGGGCATCATCTCCATGACATTGACTGTCCACACCATGTATGTCATGTACGCATGGCATGCAGCACAGACAGACACACTTGGGAGGACATATTTATTGTTCAGATGTGTATCGTATCAATCAATGTCATTGGTGGGTGCGGTGCACTGCACCCCAGCTCGCTACGGGCAGTGGAGAAAGCAGTGGTGTGCATTCGGTTTCACAAAGACAAAGAATCAACAAGACTCAAAGCTACCTACTCAACCTTCACGGCAAACACGCCAACAGCAGCACACAGCACTGGCACCGGCAACCTACTTAAAAAACCACACACGACAGGCACACGACAGGCACTACCCAACGTGCGCTCCAACACACCCCCCACGCAGACCCAACACACCCACTCGCTAGAGGCCGCACTTCCTCCTACACTGGTCCCTCTTCAGCCCCAGTGCAGGGACATTCGGCAGCTCATCATGCAGCAGCGTAACATCATACTCATCGACATTCAGGGCTGTGGCCAGGACATCATTGGGAAGGCCAAAAAGGGCCTGTGCGATGGTGTGCACTCCGCCGTCATCACTGTTGAGCGTGCCGACGAACTGGGCTGGTTCGCATGTGGGGTTGAACTGCCAGTGGATGAGGGTGTGGGGGAAGAAGGCGCTGTTGCCCTCCTTGATGTCATTCGTGACGATGCGGCCGCCGTTCTCCTCCGCAAAGCCAACAATCAGCCTGATGGATGCCCGACACGCAAAAGAAGACACGATGAAAAAAAGACATTTGGAATGAAATGGTGCGTGTGTCTGCTCCTCACCGTCCTTTGGTGATGTAAAGCATTTCTGTTGCTCGGGGGTGCAGGTGGGGCGTGTTGATGGAACAGGGGGCGATGTCCGTGACGGTCTGGCTGAACCCGTGACCACTGAGTGCCGGCCACTGTACGGGCGTGGCTGCATGGATGACACACAAGTGTGCGGGCCTGAATGCGTTTTCTGTATTATCGGTCTTACCTCCTCTGATGCCGCCACCCTCCCCGTTGGTCAATACTTGAGCCTCATTGAAATCGAAGGTGAAGTCGCTGTTACCAAACTGCTCGCGGAACGCGCGACGAGACAGAGGGACGTCCTCCCTCTCAGGCCCCTGGGTTATGACACCTACACAGACAACGACACAACTGATGAGCCATGCTGTGTCGCATTCTATCTCTCTCAGCTTACTTTGCAGGCTTCGTCGGATGAGGCTGCTCCCCACTGACCTCCCCCCAACGGTTGCGTCGCCGTCAGCGGCGAGGGCCAAAGAGAAGATGCAGGCGATGGCGACGATCAGGACGGCACGAGATAGGTTGGTGGCGTCCATTTTGAGCGAACAGCTGAATAACGGATGCCGCAGAAGAAGATGACACTCGAGAGCTGATCAGCAGGGGCTGGATGCGATGATCTGGAGCGAGGAAGATCTGAGTAGGTCTTGAGCTGGGTTTTGAGGTCCATCTGCGCGAAGGTTTTGAGGTCCTCTTCTCTCGCCTTTCTCTCCACTCTCTCAGAGTCTTTCTCTTTGATGATCTCGAGTCATTGATCTGGTTTTTGAAAGTGCTGGCCTTCTCAGGCGTCTTCCCACCGCCCAATCTCCCTCTTCCTTTGTCCTCTGCACGCCTAGCGCGCATTCTTTCAGGGTTTCAGGTCGACGTCAAGGGTTTTGTCGCAGTCGCTCTCCTCTCCCTCTTTTCTCTCCTCTCTTCCACCAAAAGGGCCGGCGTCTGAGTGTTTGAAGTGAATTGATGTGAAGTTCTGTTGACGTTTCATGAATGGACTCATCCATTCTGAGTGCTCGATGAATGAATGGAGGTAATGCGTATGTGAGGCGGCCTCCAACGGTCAAGATTCACACACGTCCACGATAAGCATATACCTATGTATACGCTTGTGTTCAATTGCTTGTGTTGATCGCTTATACGTACGTATAAGACAAACAAACAACAGACAATCAGCGCAACAGACAATCACTCACTTTGCCTGGCAGCGTTTGCTTTGCAGCTTTCCACCAATGCAGCTTGCGTTGCTTCTGCTCATCATCATCACTCTGTTGTCATGTTGTGCAGCAGAGCCGACTCTCTTGTCGCTCGGTGGTTTGTGTGTGTCGTTACCGGTGTCTGAGTCTGGCGGCTTTGGCGATGGCGTGTTGGTGGGCGAGAGGTGCGAGACGGCCATGTATGAGGACACAGACAATGCCCTCTTCCTCATCTCGCCTCCAAAGATATACGGTCGGTCGGTCAGCCAATCAAACCAAACCAAACCAAACCAAACCAACCATCGTGTGGATCAGATCTGTGTGTGTGTTTAACTTATGGTTCTCTCTCGTGGTCTCTCTCAGGTCGTGGTGCGCGGTGTTTGGGTGTGAGTGCGGCCGACTGCCTTGTGCTGCTGGAGCCATGCATGGCCACCCCATCGCAGCAGTGGACAGTGGCCGACGGACAGCTCATGTCGCTCTCACACAAACTCTGCGCCACAACAACCTACCAAGGTCAGACACCTAATTCAGGAAGCCCACCCACATGTCATCATGATAATCATATGGATGTGGGTGTGGTTGCCGGCCACGTGACTGACGTGCAGGCGGTTTGGTGCGGCTGTCCAGGTGTGATCCACATAACCACCCCTCCAATGGCATGTCTCTGCGGCAAGTGCACCTCAACACAACCACACACGAGGCAGACAGGGCTGCCTACCTGACGGCCGCCACGGCCGCCACGCTGGCCCGCTTCCGCCAACTGAGCGCCTCGATCGGCCCCGACACTAACAAAGTGCTCGCTGACGTCCGGACTCAACAGACGTGGCTTGAGGTCAGCCAGCCAGCCAGAGAGAGACACGTACTTGCCGCTTTAATTAATTATCTTTTCCCCGCCCGGCCACGTGTGTACATGTGTGTGTCAGTCTCGCCTGCGTGAGCAGGAGGGTCTGTCGTCTGAGGCCTCGCGTCTGCTGCGCCAAGGCGAGATAATCTCCCCCGCCCAGGCCGAGCTGCGTGAAGCCACGGAGGGCACAGGGGTGCTGGCTGAGGTCTTCGATGACGTCTCCTGCCACGGCGAGCCGATGGCCGTCATCGCCACACCCACACTCGCCTTCTCGCAAGGTATGCATATGATGCATGCACCGCATCACCGACCCCCCCCCCCCCCCCCCCCCC